TCAGAAACAGAAGTTGTAGTCCCTCCCAGTTAGGGTGGAAATTTTGAATCATAAACTTAATTCCTAGCCTACTATTCTCCTCTATCCACCTCGCCCCTGCCAACAGTCTCGAATTTGTGCCGACAAATTGGTCCCTTTAGCTGCGCTTGTCTGTGTGTCTTTGTGTGTGTCTTGGCCTGGCCAAAACCAAACCAAAGAAACGGATCTCTCTGGCGGAGGAGAGACTCTCGAGACACTCGGTCTGGGGCCGCCTCGAGTGTGTGCTCCGCTTTGCGATTACGATCACTTTTAGATCCAATATATCAGAGGCGCGTTGACGTTGTACATTGGACGACAATTGATATAAGTTGTGGTGAAAAGTTTAGTGGCATTCAACGATTGCTTTGCTAGATTAAAAGCGACAGGCAGCCGGGACGGGACGGGACTTGGACTTGGACTCAGACTCGGCTCCGGACTGGACTTGGACATCGATGTGGACTTGAAGCTGGAGCTGGAACGAGGCGGCACCGGGATCGAGGCGAGTGTTGGCTGCCTGCCTGGCCCACAAATCTTTTGCGGTCCCACCAACAATCACAATGCCAGAGGAAAAACAAGGAAGAAGTCTATATATGCCTGATATTTGGACTTAAGGATACCCCTTCTTAGATTCTTATATTAAAAAAAAACCATATATGTATGTATGAAGGGAGAAAAAACAGTGGCCAAACGGGAAAAACACTTGCTATATGTACTATTAGTAGGTAAATCTGTTACAAATATGACCCTTCAAGATTCTTTCGTAATAAAGAAACACAGATGGACTCACTCTGAGATATATATTTATTATCTGGGTTGCAGAACAGTTCGTCCTCCAGCCTGTTACAAGCGTCTCAAAAAGTACGGTATACCCTTGTAGCCTCCAAAATACCGATTGCAACAAAGTTAAATAAAATAAGTAAAGAAGCAAGCAGACAAGTCAGCAGACAAATAGCCGCACGTTGTACGTGCCGCTTTGGAATCTGTTTGGGTATACATACATACATATATCCGTACATATATGTGCCTATATCTGTTGCCATGCTCTCTGTACATTTTATGGTAGTTGAGCTTTTTTAATTGCAGCCACAGCCACAGCAACAGCCGCTGCTTCAGCAGCAGCAGCAGCCACAGGAGCGGCCACATGTACCCATCGTCCGTCGCCCCGTTAACAGTAAAACGCAAAATTATGCGATGCTACGTGATGACAACAAGGTGGAGCATTCCAATACGTCTCGCAGATGCTATCAGATCCATGGGGCATATGCCTGGGCCTGTGGCCAGGCCCACTGTCGGTTATTACGTATAAATTAGGGTAAATTATTATAATAACGAACATTAGATGCTCTCTTTAATAAGGAATTTTTGTGGGATTTATTTTGAATATTTCATTGATTATATATGTAGTAATTGGGAGGGCAAAGTTTCTAAGTAAGCTGAAATCACGGTAGTTACTGTGCAGTATTATTCGCTATTCATGGATTCGATTTGGGTAACATATTCTACAGCTAAAGGACAAATTTTTCACACTTACCATTAAACATTCTCCATACAGACTCCTTTTACTTCTTTTCATATTCACTATGCCCCACCTTTTAAAGGGTACACCACGAGTTTATCATCAAATGACATCTAATGAGTTAGACATTGCCGCTTAGCGGGTCCCAGAGCGTGTCTCAACCTGCGGCTGCTTCTGCGGCTCAGCGCACCTTGAAGTTCGGATCACTCGGAGGAGGAGGCTGGAACCTGTTGCCAAATATCTCGTAGATTTAGTGAGATTTATGCCTTTCCAAGGCTTAGAAAGAAATTTGGATGACTCAAGGCGAGTGAGGCGACTCAGTTTTGATGTGGAAACTGTTGTTGATGAATCAGCTGAGAAATCTGCATCTGTATCTGCATTTAAGCGGAGGAAAAAACCCAACCAACCAACAAAAGTTGTCACCTTCCCGAAGACGGAAATGATGATTGGGCTACCGAAGTGTTGAATCAGTCCCTGTTCCCTGGTCACCGGGAAGATGGCCGCAATTGATAAGTCGGAACGGGAGAGTCTTGCGAGAGCGGCCTTTTAGCAGCGAGTGGGTGCATTGGGTGCAGTGGGTGGGCAGTGACTGGTACGCCCCCTGGCCTGGCCTGGCCTGGAGTGCAATAGAGTCTTGCCGATCGACTGAAATCGACGATCCGCAGATCCTAAGCCAATGTGCGGCCAACAAAAGCAGCGGGTGACGGCGCGGCGCACACAGCGGGCCGCCTCCTTCAGGTCGGATTTGTGCGTCGTCTCTGGATGGGAGTCGGAGTCGAAGTCGGAGACGGAGTCTGAACCGAAGTCAAACTGCGTGGATGTCGTCCTTTTGGTGGAAGGTGGAAACAGTTTAGGTTAATGCCATAAGCAGCAGCAGGCCAAACCCAACGGCAGCGGTTAACTGGAAAACCACACGTGCCTCTAAAGGCGACCACATGCAGATCTATATGGCCACACCACAGCGACACAGCAACATACAAAATACAGATTCCAGCAGCCGCATCCACATCCACAATCCACATCCTGGGACACACTCGCCACAGTAGCTGCTCTGGCATTCGTTTCGCATTTGGAAACGCTTTCATTATAGCCCAGTCGAAGTGGGTTCTCGGTTCTGGGATCCTGCCGTGAGACGCGCTAACATTTAAATTTGTGGAAAATGAACCTCAGAGAGGGTCCTCCTCCTCCTCCTCCTCCTCATGCTCCGACTGCTTCCCGGGCAATGTTACGGCTTATCAAAACATAGTCAATATTTAATTAACACGAACGCAGCAAGCCAGCAAGGGGGACGCCTCGTTTCGCTTCGGACTTGAGTCATGGACGAGACGGAACGATGGCCCGAATGATTTATGATCTCTTATGTGAAATTTTCACTCTCCATCTCTTTCTGCTGTAGCTCTGTATCGGTTTCTGTTTCTGTATGTCCTTTTTCTTTCTGTTTACCAATTGCGCTCACCACGAATCAATGTGCGAGCCGACAAAGGAACAGTTGTTCTAAATAGTGTACTTAATTGTTGGTAAATACCCTCCTCGTACGCAGTGTTCGCCTAAATGCTGAGAAAATGAATTGATTATCGCATCCCGCACAGTAAACACTCATCCTAAACACACAATGAATACACTCTGGTGGTTTTTACTCTATTAAGATGATCCCAAAAGCACATGTAAATTTCCTCTCTTCACTTTGTTGAGTGGACACTGTAACTTCTCTTATTTTGTTCTACCATCAATCAACTGCGCATCAAATTAATTCCACCTCGTATTACAAAACCAACAATTAGCTGTAAATGCTCAAGAGTGAAGAGAGAGAGAGAGAGAGCGAGCCACAAGCTGCCTCCATTCTCTTGGTTGTTTGCTTACATGCAAAAACATGCAAAACACAGAGCGACAATAAGAAGAAGAATAAGAGGAGGAGAGGAAATTAAATTAAAGAAGTGCAGCTTTTGCAGGCCGACGCAAGGTGCACCAAATTAAGGTGGTGCCTTGCCCATAAATTCTCTTATCATAGATGCCAATAAGTACAGAATTCTTCTCGCCGCATGATGCAAATAGAGAAGCAGTGGCTACTAAAATAGAAGTACTACTTTGTTGCGCACCCTACTTAAAAATCACTTTTGGAAGAGGCATGGCAATCGACTTAGGCGAGAGAGTCTCCTGACAGCAGAAGAGATGCCCCCCAAGCGAAGTGAAACCTGATCTTTAACCCAAGAAGCTTGTTACCTCCACTCATAAAATCATAGAAAAATTCATAATTTAAGGCTTTTTTTGTTTTCTTTTAATTGTATAAATATGTTTATTTATTAACTTATTGTTTTGCTGTCTCTCTCTATGCATATAAGTACATTATTTGCGTTTATTTTTTAGCTGATTTATTGGTAAATAAAACAGAAAATTTCTAGAATTTTACACTGTCTGCATATTATAATTATTTTATATTTTTCATAATAAATTTAAATTGTATAAATAGCGGAAAAAACATGTACAATCTTATTGCCGGGCACTTACAAAAAGAAATAAAAAGAACAAAAACAATTTCGGGGTAATTTTTTGTTGAAATTTTTGTTTTGTTTTTGTGATTTTTTTTGTGCAAAATTTGTCTCATTTTTATTCATTTAAAATTTAAACTTAAACAAAACAATTGCATATCGTAATATTTATTTGATAATGTTTTTTTTTATTGTTTATTATTAATATTATTATTAATTTTATGTAATACATTTTCAACGTGTTTTATTTTCATTTTTCATTTTAAAATAAAAATACTTATGATTTAGGGGTGTGTTTGTGTGTGTGTTTTTTGTTGTATTATTATTAAGTTTTAATTAATTTCGTTATTCATAAAAATATAGCGAGGGGGCAGGGGGTAAATGTTCAATTTTTAAGGCAAGAGAATTGCAGCTGATTGTCGTTTGTATGTCTAAATGTTGCTAAGGGATTTTAAACCCTCTGTGAGTGTGGCTTTTGTGGCCGTTAGTACTGAAAGCGCAAGAAGCTCAAGCTTAATTGCACTTTCGTTGGCAACATAAACCACACTGGAGAAAGCTTCTTGCAACATGTTGCTGGAGTGTATGTGTATGTAGTTCTGATCAAGCGGTTAAGTGTTGCTTCCTTCCGGTTGTTGCTGTTGCTGTATTGGTTACTCCGACTGGGCGTTGCTATATCGGTTATTGTTGCTTTAGCGGTTAATGATGCTGTATAGGAATATCCTGCTTGGATCCTGTTGGATCCTTTAGGGGATGTTCGATCATCCCCGAATACTGCTGGATCGAGTGATTATATTGCTTGTTTAATGTTGCTTAAGCGAAAGCTCTAACGGTTATTGTTGCTAGGAATAAATGTTCCACTGATTCCTTTAGTGGTTTCTTTTACCTCCCATAACCACCACGCCCACAGGTGTCCTTGTGTAGATTTCTGCAAATATTTTGAAGAGAATTTTGTTGCTTCTTTTCTGTTCTGTTCTGTTCTGTTCTGTTGTGGCTGCTTTTGTTGTTGCTGTTGCTGTTGGTGTTGGTGGTGCTGCGCCTGCGCAACATTTTGTGAATGTTTTTTGTTGATGGATGTGGGGGGCGTGGCAAGTGCATTGAAGAGACCAAAGAAACCAAAAAAAAATCGAAATAGATAAAACCAACACCCAATCTAGCCATCCATTCATTCATTATAGTACACGATGCTGTGGCTTGTGTTGGACTTATTCTTAGAGTTTTTTATTTAATTTTTTTTGAGTGGTGCATGAAGAAGGCGGTGTGTGTGTGCTTGTTGCAGCTGTAGCTGTGGCTTTTGCTTTTACTTTTGCGGCTGTTGCTTCGTTTTGCTGTTCAGATCCCATTCAAATGGATATATAGTATATATAAGATATAGCTGTGATATTGCGTGCTGTTGTTGGTGCTGCGGTGCTTAGATATCGGGTTTACTTTATATATTGCTCTGTATGTGCGGTTTTTTATATATATATTTATATATATATATATATTGTATGTATATATATGGTATTTTAGCTTATCGCCAAACACACTGACTACATCTACAAATAGAAGAGAGAGAGAAAACAAGAAAAATATAGAGAATAATTCGTGATGTGGCAGAAGGTTGTGCGATAATTCAGTGAATAGAACAAATTACAATATTAATGATATATTAACAAAGCGATTCGGTGCTTTTCTGTCTACCCCCAAAATGGAATTGCGATTTCGGTTCTTTTATGGTTGGTTAGGTGTATGTGTATGTGAATGTGAGTGTGTGCTTTTGTGGGTGTGTGAGGTTGTATATATGTATGCGTGTAAGCTTTGTCTATAATTCGAGAGCTTTTGTCCGGAAACTACCTCAATTTTATGGCTTATGTCCTCAATAATTTATCGGATTGTTAGATTAAAGTTCTACCAAAATTGGTATTTCCTATTGGAAGCATTTGATAAAGAAATATGTGGATTTAAGGGTTGAAATTTCTCATTCAACCGATACCAAAAGGTTTTTATACTATTTTTACACTAATAAATATATGCCAGAGAGGCCAAGAGAGACTATGTAAAGACTTCTGACCTGTTGCCCCAACATAAATGGTGCTTTTCTCCACAAATTTTAAACATATTATTCATTCATTTATGATCCATTATAATAGTTAGAAATGATTTTTAATAATTAAATCATAGTTCTCATTAAAATATGATACTTTTTTGACTGTTTTCTTCGGTATTTAGCTATTTTTCAATTAGAGAGAATTACGCTCATTGAAAGGTGATTACTACATACATACATCTAGCTTTAGAACTTGATATATGAATAATCTGCCAGTGCAAAACGTTTCTTTATCAAAGTGCTTTTCCCTGGCGGCTATAAATAGCTCTGGTATATCTATCTTATATGCCATATCACAAATTTATTTCTTTTCACACTTAATTCTAAACATTTAAGGGTTTTTTATATCCAGTAATAGAACTTGAGCTATGAATAATCTGCCTAAGGCAAAACGTTTTCCCATGAAAGTGATTCCCACTGGCAATGAATATAGTAGATGTGTCTGGTATTCTGTCTATATCTGTGAATATATAATGATGAATACACCTATGTTTCCACCTATATAACTGTGGATGTATTACGAATGCTTGTTTGTTCTTGACCAACACCGAAAAGAAGGGATTCTGATCCATGCACTTAAACCTTAGATATACCAGGCATGTACTATTTGTGTGTGTGAATGTATATACAACCCCAAGGCACAACCCTGACTTGGATGCGTTTGAATTGGAAGGTCTAAGGGGTCAGGTCAGGTCAGGGGGTAGGGTAGGGTAGGATGTTAAGACTCACCTGTGCTGGCGAAGATTATCACGCTGCTTGAAGTACTTGCCGCAGACCTCGCACGAGTATGTGATCTCCGGCGATTTGTGGGTGCGCTCGTGGATCATCAGGTTGTATGGCTTGGTGAAACGCCGCTGGCAGTACTTGCAAATGAACTCGCACTTCGGACGCATCTTGCGACGGAAGTCCGACCGGCAGTCATCGTTGTCGATTCGCATTACAGCAAACATTTTGACGGGCGGTATGTGCGCGGCTTCTCCCTCGGGGGCTTTTCGGTGGCTTTTTCGGCGGAGTATACACTCGCTGTACTCACTGCTCTCTCTCTCTGTGCTCTGGGCTCTCTTTCTCTCCGACTCGCTCTCTTTCCCAACCAACAAATGGGGGACTTGCTTGCTCGTTCTCTCTCTCGCTCTCTCTCTGTCTGTCAGTGGGGGAGTTGCCGTGTGTTGTGTGTTTTGTGTTTGGGGGAGCTTTTGCTCGGTGTACACTCTCTTTCGTTTAATCGCTATCTCTCGCCAGATACCCAGATAACACCGTTAATTGCGGTGAGTGTTGCCAGTTGGTTGGTTTTTTCCTGGTGAAATGCGGCAACGATGCTTCTGTCCAACTATCTTATTTTTTTTTTCTGCTGCTGCTGCCGCTGCTCTATCTGTGATTTCTCCCTATGGTATTGTGGGCGTTTTGGGTGGGCCTTACTGCTGCTGCTGCTGTTGACTTTTTGGTTTATGGCGCACTTTAAGGCAAACACCTAAAAAACAGAGACAAAAATATAAAGTTAGCAACGCCTGCGACAACTTTTATGTGCCAATAAATTCAGACAGCTAAAATATACATATACACATATTGTATATTGTATATTCCATCCGACAAGTTGTCTGTGTCCGCTCGCAGCGGTGCTCACGCAACATGAAAATTTAAAATGACTCATTAACCAACCAGCAACCAAATCCGTGGCTGAAGCTCCGTGTTGACATTTACAAATCACCACAGATGCCCCACACTCATACCATTCCCTCCATGCCCCATACACCATATCCATGCCCAAGTCTCGGATGGTAACCTTCGACGGGCCATATAATAATTTGTCTTCAACGACACCCATCGATTGTTCACCGTTGTCTCTGTGTAGTGCTTTCGGCCCGGCCCGGCCCGGCTCGGTTCGGTTAGGGTAATGTACTTCACTGTACTTTACTTCCGCAAACACAATTGTTCAATTAGCTGTAGAGCAATCAGATGTTTGAGGCTGAAACTATCAGATAACATGAGCCCCCATGATAATGAAAGTATATTTAAATACAAGAACTTTACGCCACAATATACCAATATTCAGAGAGTTTCCTTAAGAGAAAGTCAACATATGGGTGTGCGAGAGATGATTCTCACATATGTATGTAAGGACAATATCATAGAAGGCAAGTATACCAATTTTTATAGAAATTCCCCAGAGAACAACCGAGTTCCTATTGGAAAGTACACCATAAAGGGCTTAGATCATAATAAAACCCCTACATTTTCGAATTGAAGGCAGTGACTGTTTTGCGTACCAATTTTGATGGAATTTTTATGAGCGCGAGCCGAGTTCCCACAGTATAAAATAGGATTAAATTTGGTAGTCTTGATGAAACAATTGTCGAAAAAAAAAGATTATCTACTCCACTTAGTATACAAATTTTGGCACAATTTCATCGATGGACAACCCAGTTCACTTGGTCAGTTCTTAGCATTTCTTATGAAACTGAGTCATAACAATAATTCACCCCATTGGGGCTACTCCCCCGTCGCGTTATAGCCAAGTACAGTTGCCAAATACGCCCTGTTCTTGGCCACTTCATTAAGGTGGCGCTGTAACAAGTTTATTTTTAATTGGCGCCTTGCGAAACCGAATGATATTTATGCCCAACGCTTCTCCATTGCGATTTCTCGATCCCTCGGTCCAGCGTCCGTGTCCTCGCGGTAGTTAACAACTGTTATTTTTTATGTAATTTTATTTTTGTCATTTCGGCGCCGCTGGATGGCAGTTTTTGTTCTTTTTAGGATATATATTTCTCAGATTTAGTATGTCTTTGCTTTTTCATTCGCTTGGGGTTTTGGGATTCGGATTCGAATTCGGGAATTTCTGTGCGAAACAAAAGGCAGCGCTGACTGGTAGCGACAAGCGTCTCGGCAAGGCCCGATTTCGATATTTATTTATATGTTATGGTGCATTCAGCTCGCAGCTGGAGCACTTTTTGGGTATGGGAACGGGTTCCCGATTCGGGATCGGGACCGGGATCGGGATTGGGTTCGGTTAGGGGAGCTAACGTTGACAACAAAAGCCAAACGTCACAGCGGGTGCTGCACCGGCCGCAGACGGTACGTAGTTATTGTCATTATAACATTAATGCCCACTAAACATATTCAAATTATAACACTGACTTTCCTGACTCTCTGACTCTCTGGATCTTTGTTTGTGTTGGTGGAAGAGGTCCAGGTCTCCGTCCCTGTCCTCGTACCCGTACCCGTGCCCGTACCCGGTTGGGTCCATGGCTGCTGGGTCGCTGATCGCATTGGTCATGTCTGTCTCCGTCTCCGTCTTCGTTTCGGTCCCCAGTCTCTCTTGGGGAACTCTCTGCGACTCCTCCAATGTTAATTTGTGTACACAATGTGGCGTCACATTGGCATTTTAACGCCGTTAATCATGCGACACAGGGCGCCTGCATAAGGCCATCCATTCGATATGGATTCTTTGACTCTGTTGCTTTGGTCTCGGATTTGGATTTGGATTTGGATGTGGCTTCGACTTTGGCTATGCTTTACTTTGGCTCCGACGTCTTTGGCTGGCTTTCAGCGTGGGCTTAAGTGGAGCAGCATTAGCCACGGGTTGCGGCTGGGGGTTAAGCACTCTATTTGGTCATTTGGATGAGTGGCTGAGTCGCAGATGACGATGGATGGAATTATCTGTAGTTGAAGATGACAGCGAATGGGGGGACAGTGCTGTAGAAAGTCAACTGAGCGAAATTTGAGCTCACAATTGAAGGCGAATCGAAGGTTAGGGTTAGGGTTAGGAATAGGGTTTTGGGACTATCCCAGCCATATACATAACTTTTAATGATCCAAAAATAGCTAAAGAATAAAGTTTAACAGTAACCCAGAAAAATGTCACTCCTTTTTTTTTAGACTCTTTTAAAAGCACCTCGGGAACTAGACCTTCAAAAAGATGTAGGAAAACCACCAACGAAAGCTTTTTAAATATTAAGAAAACCAAAGAATGTATCATATGTGCGTTGGACTAACCTTGCACATATCCTAGCTCATGTAACTTGGAAACTACATATATCTCAGAAAGAACCGAAAATTGCTCTTTTTAGCACAGACCAAATGTTGTTTTCAGATCATCATAATCTGTTGAAAATCCATCCAAACAGTCTTGGCAAAACATCACACAATCTTGCCAAAAACCATCTTAAAACCCAATGGGCGTTTCTTGGCACCTTCAGACGTCAGCAGCTGACGACGAGGCGATCTCCAACTGTTAGTATTTGGCAACTGCGAATCCGCTTAGCCGTAGAGCTACAGAGGCCACAAAACGAACACCCACAGATCGGATCCGGCCAAAAGAACTGCCCAAATATTGTATAATAAACTGTTGTCCAACGCAAAGATAATCCCATTAATCCGCACTGAAAATAATTAGTGTTGTGTACACTCAGGGAATCTTTCAGAGAGAGAGAGAGAGATAGAGTGATAGGAGAGAGACCTTTGCTCAAAAGATGGTTCACACAGCGTGATCCTGACTCTGCCTCCGACACATCCCGAGTCCCGAGTCCCAGTGAAGGGCATGCGAAAGGCGTTAATGCTGCGTGAAATTAGATTTGCAGCAGGGAAAGAGCAGGAGAACCAAATAAAAATGGCATGCAAGCGAAAGAGAGAGATAGAGAGAGATTATTCCATATCTGTGATGGGAAGAAGTGCAAAGTAAGTGCGACTGGAACAGCGCCTTCCACGAACCCACAGACAGAGTTACAGTTTAACACCCCGACAGAACCAGAGCCAGAACCAGAGACGGTACCAGAGTCAGAGATGAGATAAATGTACGAACGTAGCGGTACGAACGATAACCAGAGTGACACACACGTCGAAGGACCGACCGAGGGACATGGTCAAAAGCGATTACCACACTTCTCCTGTGATCCCTTTCACAAAACACTTCTCTCTTTTTTGGAGGCGGACAGTGAGTTGGCAAGGTGCCATTAAAAATTACAACCGAAAAGTGAAAAAAAATAAAAAATACAACGCAGGGAGAGATGACAATAAAGGGACAAAAGGCACCGAAACACACATTTGATACGAATCTAATTGTGCTAATGGCACAGAATTCTCGGGAAAAACACCCACACCGTCACCGAAGAAAAGAGGGATGGATGGAGAGCAGAACCAATATGTTGCCAGTGGAAACAATTAGGATATGTGGCAGTGCACTTCAAGTAGAACAAAAGGTGAATGCAACACACAAGAAAAGATGACCCCAAACAACATACCGCAACAGACAAAGGAAGAAGGATCTCTGGATGGATCTCTGGCTCTCACTCATCTGCTCTTCTCGCCAAAAAAAACGGGGAAGAATGGTAAAGAAAGTTGATTTCTTATGGATCTCACATCTCATATCTCTAAGACGATATGACAGTCGGTCAAAGTCAAGGAAGATTAGGTGCCAGCTGAAGTCCATTTACAGTAATCGTTTAGCTAATTAGACTCTAATTGATGAGGCACAGCGTGTGGTCTAGACGAGGTCACACACACACACCAGGCAGAAGGCCAGAAAACCAAAAAACCAAAAAACCAGAAAACCAGAAGGTTGAAAGTCAAGGAAGAAATGGGAAAAGAATGAAATATGCTCGTAAACGAACTATTCAGGAAAAGTCACAAAAAAATGTCCCTCTTAGTTCTGGAAACTTTTCAACAACTGTTCGAGCCATTCGACTCGACACTCATTGGTATTTCATAATCCAACGAAAGGCGAAAACTTAATGGCTATCAAACCTATGACTCACCATCTGGAAATTTGGCCAAGTCTGTTTGTCGATGATGAACAGATCATCGTTCAACATTCCTGGCGATGATTCGCTTTGGCTGGTGGTGTGTTGCCTTCTGTGATTAACCTTCTTCTCTAGGCTAGACCTTGTGTTAAGCCACAAGAAGTTTGCCTCGTTTCAGACTGACTCATCTGCTGGCCAAGCTTTCAATGGGGAAGATTTTGATTTGACCAATTGCCGACGGCTTTTGGTTGATTATATGTTTTTTGGGAGTTGCAGATAGGAATTTGATGGTTTATAGTTTTCTTATATATAAAACTAAGAACTTGTATAGATGCTTCTGAAGCTATTACGTTTTGTTATGACCTATTAAAGAGGAATATTGTTTGGGCTGACCGATGAAGTACTTAGGGATCCCAGCAAAAATTCAAAATTTTCTTATAGATCGTGAACGTTTCTTTGTTTTAAATATATCTCAAGTGGATACAGAAACGATTTTTGGATGAATCTGGTCAAAAATGATAGAGATATTTTCCCAAAATGATAAAAGCTTTTTTATTTAGAGTCCTTATGGAATATTTCTGATATTAAATTGTAGAAAATCTCTAAAAATTGTAAAAATATATCAGAGTCTTTAGAAATCTTTAAAAGGTTTTTAAGCATCCTGCTAAAAGAATGACAGACTTTTCTTTCCTAGGAAAAATGTGTCTTTTATTTAAAGATGAATTTCCAAGATTCAAAAGTCTTAGTTTTATAACTTTAATCCAATAAGTAGATGGGGAATATAAAAGAAAATTATCAATCCCAATAGGTATTCTACAATATCAGTAATGATGAAATTTGGTTCATCTTTATTTTCTCCCCTTGAATAGAAGTTTTTGTAAAAATGTATCTTCCGAATTGTAAAATTTTTGGTTTATTTTTAATCTCATAGAATCCAATTGGGATTTCGACTTGCTATCCGCCATTTTGGCAAATGGCGACACTTTCACACGCGCACACACAGACACAAGGCAAGGCACCGAAAAAAGCTCCATTTGCCACACGCACGCCATATTAGCATTAGACCAGCAGCTCTATCTCCGTCACGCACACACATTCCCAAAGAGAGGGAGCGAGAGAGAGAGAGGTAGAGAGAGAGTCACACGCACCCACATTACGTGGCTGTCCAATGAAAGAGCGTAAAACTGGTAGCCGAAGCAACAAGTGAAGACGGGGCATGCGGCAAAGGAAGGGGCAAGCAAGTGGCAGAACAAGAACGAGCGCCATTGCTACTGGAATTGAAATTCGAGAATAAAACTTACCCAATGGGAGAGAGCGGAAATGTTACGATGCTGTTCTGCGGTGCTGCTGCTGGGAAACAAACGGGTGGAATGGAATGTTGTGGAAACTGGAAACTGGAATTACGCGACGGCTGTTGGAATCCGTCTGTGTCGTGGCTGTGTCGGGGCTTTGCTCGTACGAGAGTCACGTACTTAACGATGTTGTGGTATTTCTATGGGATCTGATCTGTCTTGGGGATAGATAGATCGCTGGCCTGGCTGATGGCTGATCTCTTTCGGGAGGTGCTCGTACTCGCGAAGGAACTGAGGGAACTACGCACTGCGCGGCACAAAGTTGAATGAATGAATGAATAACTGAAAGAAATAGTAGTCAACGCTGTTGCTGCTGCTGCCTGCTGCTGCTTGCTGCTGCCTGCTGCTGTCTGCTGACGTCGCTGCCGGCGTCGCTGCTGGCAAGTGAGGAAGGCGACGCAGAAGCAGAAGCAGCAGCAGCAACAATCGCTCTGTCTCTGTCTCTGTCGGAGCGAGTGAGTCAGAGCATAAAATACCAGTAGTCCCGAAGCGGGTTCGGGTAAAAGAAGAAACAAAAAAAAAACTTCGTGCTACTGCGCATGCGCAACACTTAAGCCGTCCCGCTCTCGCGCAGGGCTCCAATCTTCGGGTTTTAGTGTTGTAGTTGTATGCGTGCGTAAGAGAGGAAGCTCTCTTTCGAAAAAGGGGTAACGGTCACAAAACAGTAGCCACAAAATGGCTACAATTCTAAGAGCAACAAAATGGCGGTGCGCTTACCTATGCTACGTCGTTCTATATAGCTCCTGCTCTGCTCTTTCCAGATATTTCTTATTGATATTGTACTATATATATTCCACAGATCGCTTGCACCGTATGGCCTTTGTAGCAAGAGAGACCTCGGTTGCCACGACGGTAATATTATTAATAAAATATATTTCACTTCCGAACGCTTCTGTGCGCGAGAGTCAACTGCAAAGTTACGATCGAAACTTCAGGCTTGATGGGTTGTAGCTTTTTGTATTTTTTTACCTTATTTTTTTGTTATTTTTTGTTGCTCACTCTCACTCTCCCTCCCGCTCTCTCGGCTGTATGTGCACTGGCTCTGTCCCGCTCTAACCTTACCGCCTCTGAGCGTAAAACAAGTTTTGAGTGCGACTGCTGATTGGTTGGGTCCAGCGATTGAGCTCAAGAGCGAGTGCCGACCGAGTGAGAAAGCGTGTCTGTGCCGCTTGTGCCACGCTCTCCGTTGAGTGTTTTCTGGGGCGTTACATGATTTGACTGTTAATTAGGTTTAAGTAAGGCAACATTTCAATTAAGCACAGCGCCTTAATGAGAGAAAGGTGAGAGCTTTTAATGGCTTAAGCACTCTCCCTCTCTCTCATCGCAACGGTAGCCAGCTCTCTTTCTGCTCTCTCTGCAAACTTTCTTTCACTTAGTGACTAGTGGGCGTGTCCTATTTTGTGGCGCTTTGGGCGGCGCTCTGAAGCCTGTCAAGAGAGCAGCGCAACCGTATTACGCAGTTTCTTTCTTTCCCTGTCTCTTTCTCTCTCTCTGTCTGTCTCTCTTTTGGCTGGTCTTCTTCTGCTTTCAGCTCCATTTTGTTCATATGTGTGGGAAACTTTTCGTTCCTTTTGGCTTTTGCCGCCTTTTGCCCTGTGTGTGGCCTCTTTTGTAGATTGTCTGTTTGTCTTTATCTTTCTATAGATATAGATTCTCCCCCTTGCTCTGCCCCGTCTCCTCTGTCGCAGTGATTTCTCAATGGAATCTCTCATTCACAAAAATATTTCATTAATTTTTTACATCTGTTTGTTTTTGGGGCTCTTTTTGCTGTTTTTAATCAAGTGTTTCGCCAAAAAAGGACTTGCTGGCCAATTTTTTAATTAAGTTTTCGCCTTTCGACATCCAAGCATCAATAAAGTTTAACAAATTATCTCTGTCTCACTGGTCCCTCCATCTCATTGTCTCTCACTCTCCGTTTTTGGGCATTTTTAAGTGCAATCTGTTGGCGGGGTATTCAATGGAGCTCCAACTCCATTTGATGGCTTCATTTTTTTGGTTTTGCTTTTGTTTTTGTGTCAAATTTGCATATTTTAAATGGGCAATCACGAGTCTCGTCTCCTAAAGGAGACGCTCCAACAATTGTGAGGAGCTTCCTTATGGAGGCGAAACTAATTATGAAACGTCAACAGATAAAACTCCACAAAAAAAAAATCAGAAATGAAAAATCAGCTTGAAGACTTCGGGGGTGAAAAAAATATATTAAAAATATCAAAGATGTGTATATGGTATAATAAGAAGAACTCGATGCACAAAATGTTTGAAAATATCATCTGAAATATTCTACATGGCTCTTCAAGGCCCTCCCATCAGTTTTCTTTTCATTTTGACTCACCTCAAAAGTCTTTCCAATGTTCTTTTAACCCATTTGAACTGCTATCCATCATCCGTCTATCAAATGCCCTCTCAAAGACCCTTCAAAACCCATTCAAATGGACTACCCTTCTAGAGCGAATGATTCAAATGACTTGCCACAACTTTCTCAATGACCAAATCAACCTCAAAGAAGACAATCTACAGCCCCAGCAGACACAGACACAGACAGTGCACAAAAAAGTATTAAATTTCATTAATTGCCAAAATTAAAAAGGCAAACAAAATCAGGCAGGCAACAGGCAATGGCACAACAAAAACACAAACAAAAAGATTGGTGAAAAATTAAAAATTCATACGGCAGCGATGCGGTCACATAAATTTTAGAGGAGCAGACAGCAGGCAGATGCAAAAAAATTATAATAAATATATGTGCGAATACACGGAAAGAAATTATACTCGATATTGATGGGAAATGTGATGCCTAAAATTGGTTTTGCTCATAAAAGGATTAACAACAAAATTCAGATTATAAACGTACATAGACCCTGCGTGATACAACATTTACTCCCATTTGTTACCATACTTTTTCTGTCTGTGTAAGTGCGAATCTGTTGAAGAAGCACCACCAAGCAAATGCTAAAGACGTGGGCGTTCAATGGGCTCTGATCTTTTTGTTTGGGGTTTTTTTATATTTTGGTTAATAATAATGAAACTGGACCGCAGCCACCGCAGTAAGGCGTTGTCAACAGTTGGAGATGATGATACCCGATGATGACGACGAGACCTGGCTCTTGGATCTGGGCCTCCATCTTCATTTGGCACACGGTAGTTGTCTCAGTTGTCATTTAGCCGGAGTTCTCTCATTCAAGGTGTACTGGAAAATCATTCGAAGCTAACAGAAGAGGTCTTTCTCAGTGTCGTGACTTGATTTATTTTGGCCCACACTTGGGCCCAGACTTGGAGACTTGGTTTATACATAAATTTGAATTATGGTACGCTGGCTCGTAAATTCGTTGGATGATGTTTCTATTTTAACAGTTAGTCGGAGCTAGGAACCGACCGAGCAACCGAACGATCTATCAATGAACTCGCAGCTGAATGAACTGCCCCGAAACCTGAACACCGTCCATTCGCATTCGATTGATCGAATCGAATCGAATCGAATCCCTCATTTGATATGCAGTTTCGATCTTCAGTTTGTATGCTAATTTCCTGTCCGTTCGGTTTTCAGTTTCAGTTTTTAGATATCCATTGTGTTCGCCTTTTCAGTTGGTTTTTGTTTGTATTTTTTATTTAATTTTAATTTTTATTTCGTAAATTTTAAATTTGTTGTCACTTCTGTGGGAGCAGCAAAAGGTTTTTCCACTCTCCACCGACTGACGACTGGATTTCGATCGCTGTTGCTCGTTTTTAGTTTTTTTTTGTTTTGCTTTTTTTTATTATAATTGGGTGCGGTTCGGTGTGGTTCGGTAGTGTTTCTGCAGAACTCTATGAATCGACGCTATTGTTCAGATATACGAAACACACACACAGCTCTTTTTTGTGCGGCAGCAGCCATAGAAATTAATAAAATTTATGGTTTATTTGGAATTCTTGTTCGTTTTTTTCGGTCATTAATTCGCCATAAAGAAGTAGGCAAAGTGTGTGGCAAAAGCTTTTAGAGTCGAATGACAGGGGAGAAGCTGTAGCTGTTCATTGGGTGTATTTTTCGAATGATAACTCTATTGGGAGCAGAGTTACGATCGTATAACTTGGTGTGGATTGGTTTTTAGTGCAGATTTCTCTCTTTTTGTGTACTTTTATTGCAGTAAAAGGTGCTGGCCGTAAAATGAGACCAGTGTTCATTACAATTTTCATCAAAAGTGTACTTTAAGTTAAGAATCCTGAGATACCCCGTACGTTAAACATCTCATTTAACACATAATCCCTTTTGCACTTGTTTTCATTCATTCTTAAGCATCCCCATCAAAAACTAACCAACGTACCCCGGCTCCCATAACACTTATCGCTGAACAATTTATCTGAAAAGGTGTCAACCCATGTCTTCTAGATTACTATATGGCATACCCTCCAACTCTGCCATCCCCATCCTCTCTTTTGTGTTTAAAAACCTGTAAATTGTCCTATTTTCATGGGAAGACAATCGCCCGTCTATACAAATTACCAGCCCACATCTTTTGTGAGAGTTTTCACTTTGATTCGAACTGATTTACGATCGACTTGGTTCTTTGGTGGTGTCCTAAGCGCCACATGAACTTCCGTTCCATTCCATTTGAGAGAGAGGTGAGGTGAGGTGTCGCCCGCGTGGGTGTCTCTCTGTCAAACCAGAAACATCGAATTCAATTCGGAATTAATAGTAGAGGGTATCCCATGAGACACCGAATACCGAATACGAGACCGAAAAATGTTTTATTACATTGATTTGCATTTAAATCGATGTTGGCGGCGGCGTCATTCATTCTGTTCGAGTGGGGATTGCGATTGGGATTGGGATTGGGGTTGGTGGGATAGACCGATGATTACGGGCCCAGCGAGCGGTCAAAATGTTGACAATGATCCCCGGTATCCCACACCAAGATCGGCTGGAAGTCGGAATCAGAATCGGTCTTGGACTTGGGATCCCAATCGAAAAACTTGGAAGTTTTCAATGAATTTGTCTGTTTCTTTGTGGTTCTTTCCTTGCGATGATCGTCTTTTGTGTTTGGTTCTTCTTTAGTCTGATCTTCTGCTAGTTTTCCTTACCTCAACTCTCTTCTGCTGCTTCTTTGATTTCTAATTCTTTTTTTCCTCTCCTCTTCTCCTGCTTCTTGCGCTCATTCCTATTCGGTCATGAATGAACGCGTCGAAGTTTCTATCCTTTCAAACTGAAACTTTTTCTCTTTGTATATTAGATCATAAATTATTGGATCTTTTGCATACAATATATGACAAAACAAATAATATTCGTTCTTTTTCTGGTTCCTTTTTGTTTTTGTTTTTGGGGTATGTCGTGCTTCCAGTAGCCACCCCGCTGTGCACCCATACCGTCCCTGCCCCTCTGTTTAGGCAAAATTTATTAGTTTTTTCATTTTTATTGAGAAATTACAAAGAGTCGAGGGCGAGGGGAGGAAGAGAAGAAGGAAGTAAGGAATCTCTGGGGAGTAGGTGGCGCCTGGCTTTAGAGGATTAGAGACAAGCGCTTACTCACTCGCACAAAGAGGCTGAAGGAAAGAGAGCACGGAAGAGGAAAGGAGAGAGATTCGGATTGAGAGAGGGAGACAAGCAGACCCATACAGAAAAAAGAGAGAGAGAGCGATCGATCCCCCTCACGATTTATGCCCACAAAATGCTTTAGGGCACAACATATTTCTGTTCATTCAAAGTAAAGTCGAAATCGGGCAACAGGTTTATCTTTTTGTTCCCCATACCCCATCTCCTACCCTACCCCCCCGCCCGTAAACAATGAGCAAATGAAACTCTTCGGCAAAGCACTCGCTCTGGTCGCCCAACAACAACATCGAGAGCAGCAGCTGCCTGCCTCCCACCAAGTGCTCCCGAAGCTTGGAACTCTCAGACGAGCCGAAGCTTGGAGCCGAAGTCCCAGCCACTCGTTCCACGTTCCACTCAGTGGAATGGCATCCGAATCCTACCGTGGGAAATGAACAGTAGTCGTTTCGCTGAGGCTTTTTGCCAGCAGCAGCAGGCAGCCAGTTTGCTGACGTTCCACCTCCTCTTCCTCCACTTCCTTCTTCCTCTTTCTCTTCTTCTGTTGCTGTGTTTGAGCTTTTCGCAATTTCTCTGCAGCGTTTTGTTTTTGGCTTCGTCGTCGGCGCATATCAAATAAGCCTAATAATAATGCAATTTATGTAAAAGAGAGAAAGATAGAGTGGAAAGAAGAGGAAGAGAGATGTCTGCTCTATTTTGAGGAGGGACAGAGAGAGAGCTACAGAGAGCTAAGTTAGGAATAATATCAATTGGATTTCCACGAGCAGTGGTTTTCATGCATTAATTCCTGATCTTTAAAGACTTTAAAGATCCCAGAATGTTGGAAAATCCTGCTTTTGCAGATGACAACGGCTAGCCAGGATCCTCTTGTTCCACTTCAAGGAAGCTTTCACTGTATCGAAATACAATTTTTTATTTTGGCTGGGAAAATCCTGTAACCTCCGCTTGTTTTCCCATTTGTGTGTTGCCGTTTAGGGAAAAACCTTTTAGCACCTACCTCTGGCAGGCCGCAGCGAAAATCACAACAAGTTGCGGGCCAAACCCCGCACTCTCCAAGCATCCCACTGTACACACTGTACACAGTGTCCCAGTCCCACTGTACACACTGTGTCCATACAGGCGGCTTATCAGTGCGAGTGGGCAAACAAAGGATGCGCGTGCGGGGCAGGCAACACCTTCCCTTCTGGATTCCGGGTTTCCAAGGCTCTCGACAGCGGCGGCGGCGGCGGTTCTCTGTCAAGTAGTACGTGCGCAATGGACGATAGTGCAACAACTAGCTCTCCCTTGCTCACTCTCACCTCACCGTTATCTTTGATCGTAAAGGATCTCGCGCGCATGCGCATGCGTATATTTGTTGAAGGAGCAGATAACAAAGAGGTGATAATTGACCGCCCTATTGGCCTTTGCAACCAATTACGATACTTATCAGCGCGCGGCAATCAAATTAAACACAGTCCCCGAACGATTCTCGGGCGGTGCATCGCTGGTGGTCCCACCCCCTCTACCACTCTCTATCCCTCTCTCTCTCTCTCTCTTACAATGGATCACTAATCGCTGGCCAGATCGAACGTAAACGAGAGCAGCGCCGCACACACCCATTCCCAAGGTGTGAAAAATACCTAAGCCAGGCTCCAGGACGGGGTTTTTTGTGTAAGGAAAGTATGGACTGTATGGAATGTATGGTTAGAGTACGCTAAGCAGCCGCATTATCATTTTATCAGTTGTTTGCCTGGTCACCGGCCTGGCTCTGGGTCTGGCGCACCACTGTTTCCTGATCGTGGGCATGCACCAGGAGGGCCACCTCCAGATTCAGTTGCGCAATGTCCTCCTTTAGTTTGACGATCGATTTCTTGATCTGCTGCACGGAACCTGGAATGAAAGTGGGATTAGTATGCATCGTGGGCGGTTTACAACGGGGGTATTAGAGCTGTGATTCAGAATCATGGATCGCAAATAGTGGAACTCTTATCGAGCGCAAGAAATCGGAGCAGATTGCAGCAGTGTGAAAAGTAGATGTGTGAAATAAGGTATGTTTGCTTGAACACATTCATTCCGATATTCAGTATGGTACCCTTTGATATCTTATGATACTCTTGTATACAATTTATGGTAAGATATTCGTTACAAGATTAGATTTTATGCCATTTTTTATAAGATATTTGACAGCTAATCGAATTAATTCCTATGAAATTAAATTAAAAGATTCTATTCTTCAGCTCAAATCAATTCTCAGGATACTAATCATCTGTATACTAATATAGCAATATCGAAATATATTTCGATCTTCATTTGTCGTTTTTAAACTATATTCAGCAGGTATTTCACGATACTCTGATTGGCCTTCTACAAAACTCAAAAGCTATTCCATACTCACTTCCATCGGACATGACCTGGCCGCGTCGTTCCATTTCCTCCTTCTTGAGCTCCTGCTCCAGCATCACCTCATTCAACTGTGCCAACTGCTTCTCAGAGTCCGCCTGCACTTGGTTTTGCGCATACTGGATGGTGGATAGCTCAATGGAGAGCTCCTTGAACTGTTGGATCAGGGGCTGCAGCTCGTTGTTCAGATGCTTCTCGCGGCTCTCCACCTTCTCCAGGCTGAAGGTGAACTCGCTGTGCAGCTTCTTCAGCTGCGCCTGTGTGGTCTCCGAGGACTCGTTTATGCTGGTCTTGAATGCATCCATCTGGGTGAGGTGGGTGCGCCAATCGCGAGCGTCCGCCTTTACGAAGACCTTCAGATGCGGCAGCACGCGCTCGAGTTCGAGGCGCCACTCCTGATGGTCGCTGAGACGGGCGTCAAGATCTTGGGCCTGCTCGTCGAGGGCCACATCGCCGATGGACTTCTTCTGGGGGCGATTTAGCCAGTTTAGTTGTCTGAAATTGTGGGCCTCCAGCTCCAGGTCGCTGTCGTCACTGAGGCCGGCGGCGTTCTGTTCGTCCTCAAGCTTTTCCAGTATGATTTCGGCATTGTCCTCCAGATAGTCACCCAGGAACTCCTCCTCTTGCATTTTCTGAACACGCTGATATCCCACTTTGGCCACTTTGCAGGCCTGCGTAGAGAGTATGTCCAGGACATTGAGGCAGATAGGTCCTGCGCCACGAATCAGTTTATTGGGCGGAAAGTCCACAGGGACATCCTGCAAAGAAGCAACGTTTACGAAATGGATACTCCTTCGCCTTTCCGTCAACTTACGATCTCTTCCAGCATTTGAATGATGTTAGCAGCGACCGTATTCGGATCATCGTATTCCTGGGGTCGCTCCATGTCCTTGCCGAGCTTCTTGCAGAGCCACCAGCAGATCAGGGTGAACATGTAGAACTGCTCCCCCGGATTGGTGGCCTTCACAAAGTAGAACCGCGACAGGGGCTTCAGCTTGAACTCTTTAAGCAAATGTTTTTCGTAGTTGAGTAATTTCAGTTTTTCCAACAAGTCATCCGATTGGAAGCTCTGCAGCTGTTGAGTTTTTTCCGGTCCATCATCTTGCTGCATTTTGGCTGTTAAATGTGGTATAAAACTTTCCTGAGTAATACTCTAATGGAAATTAAAAATATTTGTTTTGAAACGTAGGAAAGTTTCCATGGTAACCAGGGAGGCAAACATAGTGAAAGCGCAGGTGCCATGTGAATTAACAGAAATTTAAAAAATGGAAGCTGTTGAAAAATATTTAACTCTGATAAGAACTGTTAATTGTTATATTGCGGATAAATTCGATATTTTGTAGAACAAAGTTTAAATATTGCGCCTATCTTGGAGCGCTTCGCTTAACAGCACGTAAAATGTTAAAGCGCACCACTCATATCCAGTCGATAGTATCGATAGCCGAAGATGAATCGCGTAAGGCTCTCTTTGAGTCCCATTCCATACTTTTAGATTATGTACCTAAATTCCATACATTCCATACATGCAAGTACTTAAAAGTAATTAATCTTGTAGAAAATTCATTCATCAATCGTATGAAACTATGCGGGCATGGCTAAATGTTCTATATAGCTTGTAATATTCCACGGAATATCAAAAACGAGGAATATGTAAAATAGAACTTGAACTCATCAGTATATTTACGGTATATTTGTAACATGCGACGGTATATTTTGGTATATTTCTGAGTGTCAGGCAGTCCCATCACTAGCATCTTTTTGCCACTTTTTTCAAACAAATTAAATTTGATGCCGAAAGTATGAGCATTAAATTGGATCTGCACGCTTTAAGCGTAGACGATATTATCGAGGAGTACAAGATCCTGCACGAGGGCCATCAGAAGCTGAAAACCCAGACCGAAAACGATGCCCAGCGCATATACGAATTAAAACGAAATCTGGACACGGCGCTAGCGGCCGAGGCCTACTTGACCCAAGAACTCGAACAATTGGGCTCGCAACCGCCGGAAGATCGTCCCGGTGTAGAGGTGCAGGAGTTTGAAGAGCTGCGGCGTAAGTTCAGGAGCCTGCAAGTGGATCACGACACTCTCCAGCAGGACTATGACGCCAAAGCGGAGGAAGCGAGTGCTCTGCGAAACCAACTGGCGGCTGCGGAGCGTGGACTGGCGGCCAACTCGACGTCGAAAGATACCCATGAAGAATGCCACCTTCGCTTCCATGCCTTGGAGAACGAGAACTCTGAGCTGCTGCAGAAACTGGCGGAACATGAAGAGTTCAGTGTGAAACACATCTTGGAAGTGGCTGAAAAGGATGTAGGTCTCAGACACATAAGCTTTAATAGAGACAGCCTTTGATAGATTGGATTTTTCCCCTTAGAAAACCATTGAATGTCTGCAGGATCAGGTGAGCTGCCTGGAGCAGAACTTGCAGTGCAAGCGCAGCGAACTGGAGGAGAAGGAGCAGCAGCTGTATGTCGCCCAGGAGGAGGTGGTGGATGCCAATGCCAAGATCTTCCAGCTAACCAGTGCGCCCCAAACCAATGGTAGTTACAAGACGCTCTTCTTTTTGAGGATGGCCCCTAATATTGATGTATTTCAGAGCCCAAGGGAAACTCTCTGTTTGCGGAGGTGGACGACCAGCGGCAGGTGATGAAGCAGCTGCTGGCTGCCCAGAAGAAGAGCTATCTGGACATGAAAAAGACCTTCACGGAGAGCGAGTTCGAGATACGTCGCCTCAAGCGGGAGAACGTTGCCATGCACAGAGAGCTACAGGCTTGCAGCACCATCTTTTGCAGTGCCGACAAGACCTATCAGAGTAAGCATTACCCAGGAGATTTCCCTGAAAGAAATGAATATGATTCGTTCACTATTTCCCACAGATAAGCTCAACGAACGTATTCGCCAGCTGATGAGGCAGAACGAGACCCTGGAGCAGCAGCTGAATGTGTCCCAGGAGCGGCTGCGCGAGGTGGCCAGCGAGAAGAACGTGACCTGGCTGGACTCCATGCTGGAATTCTGCAAGTATGAGTTGCCCAAACGTATCGACAGTGTGCTAGCATCGCTTAGCAATCACTTGCTAAGCCTCTTGCTATGAGGCAGGCTCTGTTCTCTAGTTAGGTAGTTATCCTCACATCCCCCCATTCATCCATTTAGACGCGAAACGGACGAGCAAAAGGCGCAACTGCATAGCATGCGCATCCAAAAGGCCGCCCTGGACGAGCAGATGCGCTCCGTGCAGAAGGAGATGGCGCGGTAAGTAATGGCGTACCCCTTCACAACGATTTCTATTTAAATCTGTGCTACTCCCGTCACTTCCAGTTGGCGATTTGAGTCTCTGAAATCTCGCTGCGTGCTGATTGATCGTGAAAATCTGCTGACAGAGCACAAGATTGCCTTCAAGCACGTCCAGGCTATGGAGTTCAACATCAAGGAGGCCGAACTGAAGGCCGCCTTACCACGCATTGTCAGTGTGGCCACAGAAAGCCCAGCCCCTAGGAGACTAACGGAGACTGTAGTCAAGGATGCTGAGGCGAAGGAGACCGAGGCTCAACCAGCCGAGCTTACAGGCTTACCGTGCGTCAAGCAGGAGACGGCTGCTTTACGTGAGGTACAGACACCCATACAGTTGGTGCCCAATCCTGAATGCAAAGAGCTGGAGGTGACGAAGAACACGCCAGTCATATTAAAGGAAGAAGTTACTGATAAATCCCCGGCAATAGAGACACTCAAGCCCGTCAAGAAGGGCACTCCAGTCAAGGCGCGTGCAGGAGGGATAAAAGTCAAGTGCGAAGAGAAATCCGTGGAAGCAGCCAAGCCGCTGATGAAGGGAACTCCCATCAAGAGTCGCCTCAAAACGGAATGCGAAGATCAAACACCGCAGAAAGAGTCCAGCGAAGAGGCGGAGGATGAAGATAATGACCTATCAATTGACAATGCAGTAAAACCAGTGATGAAGGGCACTCCAATCAAACCCCGTTTGGGCGTCATCAAGGTTAAGTCCAATGAAATGTTAATGGGCAAACAAGAGCCAGAACAAGAAAAAGCCAAGTCCAAAGGCCGGAAAGGAACTCCGCTGAAACAAAAGCAGCTCATGGACCAGGATTATGACAGCGATGTGGAGTACATCGACTCTTCTACACCGAACAAAATCGAGATCGAAGACGGCACCATGACCCCGGCCAAACCACTGCGTAAGGGAACACCCGTGAGGAGCAACGCGCAGCCATCGGTACAGCCTGCCATGCAGGGCACAACGAACATAAATGTACGCTCCATTCTGACCAAAAAGCGAGAGATATTTGCCGAGGATAGCCACAAGATGGTCCAGTTCAGCGGCAGCTCACCTGTTGTACACAATCTGAGTCCCGTGGAGCAGCAAATGCCCGACGCCAAGGAGAATGAGAAGCCGAAGACAGCTGGGGCTGGGGGCCAAGACATTAAGCCGACGATTAAGGGCCCGAACATCATCAGACGCATTGTCATCGGCTCCAGGCAGCCAAAGAAGTGACGGCATCACATTTAATAAGAAACTTTAATTAGACCTTACATCTAGACACGAACTTAGTCATTAGTTACACACCAAAACAAGCACAAAAAAAAACACAAGTAAGAAAGCAAGAGAATAGAGCAGGGAAATATAAACGACCCCTACGAATTTTCCCTTAGTTCAACCTCCTGTTGCCCCTCCTCCCCAAACGACAGGTGGTCGTAGATGGGCGCTGTAGGGGCGCAGCCTTTCGGAATCTCTTTCGTTCCGTCTCCATTTTCCGCCAGCTCCGTGATCTCGGAGTACAGTTGATAAGGCAGCTCCGTGGGCAGTGCCTCGTACGTCACATGATGCGTGCGCGAGCACGAGGAATCTCTATGGCCCGTGCAGTTGCAAATGGAGGCACCACCGCTCACCGGCGTCTCATAGCCATCGGCCAGAGCGGGCTCCAATTCCAGGGGAGCAGCACCATTGCCATTGGCTATGGGATAACGCACAATATCCACATGATCCACAAAGCGAGGCTGGCTGGAGGACTTGCCATCGCCAAAGCACGACAGTCCCGATATGTAATAGGACAAGTGGAAGAGTCGTTCGCAGTGCAGATATAGGTAGAGCAGCAGGAAGAGCAGGGCTATCCCCAAGGGCAGCATGAAGACAATGATGAGGGCCCCCGAACGTTGGCTGCGATGCAGTTCCACGGGATTGCCATACAACACTGTGAAGCTGGAGACATTCGTGTTAGGATGCGGCACCGGAACGAAGGAGTTATTGAGGATCACATGCATAATCCTCCCAGGCGGTCGCTCTCGCTTCGCAGGCCCTTCTGTGGGTGGCTCCTGGGGACTGCAGCTCAATCCATTCACATTGATGTGCGAAATATACTTGGAGTACTGCAAGAGCCGGAACATCTGCGGCTGGGTGTGCGAGAAATTGAGCAGCCACTGGCAGCTCCAAGGATTGCCATCGATAAAGATACGCAGCTGCATTGACGGCTGCTCCATTCGGGCGTCCACATCTTTTAGAGTCATCAAGTGATTTGATCTCAGATCGATATGTTGGATGGTTTGTGGGGCGATCCGGAGCAACTGCACCAGAGAGAGCGTGTGAATTAGGTTCTCCTGCAAACGCAGCTCTTTGAGTTTCGTCAGACTGCTGAACCAGCCGCTGGTTAGGTTACCCAATTGATTCCTGCTGAGATCCAGCGATATGAGGAAACTTTCCCCCAGTTCCAATGAGGTCAAGGCATTGCCACTCAGGTTCAAGTGGAGTATGCTCCGATTCCCGTATGGTTCAAGGCCAAAGCTGTTCAGATGGCAATCGACAATGGTCACATTGATCAGATGAGAGGTTCCATTGGCCAGGACTAAGCTCTTGTCTTCAATCAGTGTCTTCTCCACAACGAGTTCTATGAGATTCTCGGGCAATAAATTGAAGAATTCGGGTTCAATCATCTTGAGGCGACTAAGGCGAAGTCTTTCTAGATTCGCCAGCTGTTCAATGATGTCACCATCTCTCAAGACCAAATGCTCCTCCTCCTTGATAGTAAGTTCCTGGAGTTTACCACAGCCCAGCAGTGGTTCCATGAACCTCAGGGAGTTGCCCTGAATCTGAAGACGACTCAAATGCGGCAACTGCTCGAAGCTATTGCCACTTAGCGTGCCCAGCTCATTATTCTTAATGAACACGGCTGTCATCTTGTTTAGAATGGGACCACCGCAGCCTAGCCTGAGGGTGGAGTCCCCAACGAATCGCTCGATCTCCAAGCTCTGCAGATGGGGACAATTATCCAGATACTCCAGGCCATAGCTGGCGACACCGAGTGGCGGCGTGTGGGCTCCGTCCAGTAGGACATGACTCTTGCCGGCCACCCGCTGGGCGCCAAGGTCGAATGCAGCTAGTACCTCCAGCGTGTTGTTTCCAGAGCAATCAATGTCCAGGGGCAGGCCAAAATCTTGGTCGCTGCGATCCCATGCCGGCGTCATGTAGAGCGTGGCGCGAATGACGCAAGTGGAAGTGGACCCGTAGGCGGAAGACATCTCATCGTCAGCTGCTGCTGCTGCTGATGCCCTCACGTGTGACAAGAGCAGCAGCAAACAGAGGCAGAGGCCGACGCAGTGCCTCATCGTCGTCGGAGGGGAATGCCAGGGGCTGCCCATTGGAGCGTGCCGCTGCGAATCTGTTTCATCCGTGTTCGTACGCGGCGCGTGCGAAAACTCAACTGAGAGCCGAGGAGCGACCCTCACATTGGAAAAGCGCCGAGAAACCATCAGCGCAGCGCACCTTTGCGAGTCACCAGCACCAGTAGCCCCAACCCCCTTCCATCGACATGAGTTTTCTTTTAATATTAAAAAATATTGCTCAGAGATTCTTTGTGTTATATTTAGCCAAGACTCCTCGCTCTCTGGGAGCGAACGCTGCTTCCTATTCGGAACGCACTCTTTCGGCTGTCATCGCCTGGTCCTCCCGCTGCCACCCCTGCCTCTCTGCCTAATCTCCCAAACACTTTTCGCACAGAATCTCATGCTCCAAAGTGGCTGTGGAAATTTGTTTATATGTAAAACATTGTGTGTACCAGCAGCTGAGCAGAGAGATCTGCCATGAACTGCGTACATGGACTTGTGGGCTTCCATGGAATTGGTTTTTGTTTATATTCGGCTTTTTGATTGGCACTTATTGGTCATGTGAATTGGATGAGATCAGAGATCAGGTGCGAAAGGGGAGCATCATTAGAGTAACGAGGTTAAGGGGTTATTCGTGGTGAACAAGATTGCTGAAGTGTGGTGTAAAAAAGGCAAATACGTTTTTTTTGTACGTTTGCTGTCGAAGAATTCACTACGAGATTTTTCTCAGTGTCATCTTGCGTTGCCTTCCTTACGATTTACCGTTTGTTATTGTCCACTGTCGGTCCCATTGCTGGTGTAGCTGTTAGAGAGAGTGCGTAGGTAAAAAGACTCGCTCAGAGAGGATCAAAAGGGACAAGAAGAAGAGAGCACGCGTTGAGCGTGTTCCTCTGCGGTAATGTGTGTGGGTTAGAAAGAGAAAGAGCAACATGGTAATTGCGTCTTTGAGGGATGGTTTCCCACACGCATTGCGGAGTGACAACTAAAAGAAGAGGAAAAGAAACATAAAAATTGTATCAGTTTTATTCACAGAATCCAGGCAGTAAATGACGTGTGCCACCAGCAACATGCAACTTGATCATATGGATCGCATCCATCTGTCTCTCTCCATCGCGCTTCCTAGAGGATGTGAGCCATATCTTCAAGTTGTCTGGGCCGCTGATATCTAGGCTGATTCTAGGCCTTGGCCTTCATCGCCATCATGCGTGGATTACTGCGTCCGCCGCTGGAACCCTGGCAACTGTGATTGACCCGACCGATGCCCGATGACTCGCTTGGTCGCTGGGACTGGGCCGAGCCGATACCAGAACTGGCAGTGCCACAAACTCCTCCGCCACCGCTTATGCCACTGCCACCTGTTGTCATCGAGTAGATGTGTCGTCGCAGCACACGAATGTGCTTCTGGGAAACCTCAAAGTTGTGAACCAGCGTGTGGAGCTGTGCCTGCAGTTCGGCGATGAGGCTGTCGCGCTCTTGGATGAGGCTCGAGGTGGAGTTCTGGCTGCGACTGAGCTTCAGCTCCAGGTCGAAGATGCGCTTTTGGAGCTCGCGGCGCTGCTTCTCACTCTGCTCCCGATGGCGGCACATCTGCCGTTTGCTGGCTGACTGCAGGGACTCCAGCTGCTCCTTCACGCTGGTCAGTTCATCGGAGAGGCGCCGCTTCTCCGTCTTGAGGGCCGCATTGTAGTTCTTGAAGATCTTGAGGTCTCGCTCGGCGGCTTTCAGGCGGTTGATGGTCACCAGCTTACGGCGGCCCAGCTCATCGATCTTCAGCTTCAGCTGGTTGGCCTCCTGATGGAGCAGACGGAGCTTATCGCCCAGGACGCAGTTCTCCCGCATGGCCTTCTCGTACTTGATGTGCTCCTCCCGCATCATCTGCGGCAGGTGGGAGATGTTCTTCAGCTTCATGTCGATCTTCGAGCGCAGGGTATCGATGTCGTGGTAGATGCTCGACTCCAGCTGCTTGTTGTTGATGTGCAGCTTATCGATCTCATGCTTCTGCGTCTTCATGATCTCCTGGGCTTTGACACAGCGTGAGTGATAGTCGGTGAGGCGATCCTTCTGCTGTCGAATGATGGTTCGGTACTGCCCCTGCTCGCTCTTCAGGTTGTTGATCGTCGAGTAGAGCTCTCGGGTGGAGCTACTAGGCTCCCGTTCACGCTCCCGCGTACGCGCTCGTTCGTGCTTGTACGTGTGATGATCCTGGGAGGTGTTCATCACGTCTTTGAGAACCTTGTAGACATCCTTGATCGAGGCCGGATGGTTCTCTTGATCCTCCATCTCGTCGTCGTCATCGTCCTCGTGCTGGTGGTTCATCATCGAGCGATGCCGTCGCCTGGACTGACGACTGGCCAAAGTCTCCACAATGCGGCTGCTGTAGTCGTCGCCGACCTGATCGGACAGGGACATCTTATTCTTCTTCGGCTGTGACTGCTTGGACATGTGCTTTGAGCCGTGCTTCTCCCTGGGGTATTTTTTCTGGTGCAGATCCTCGTAAGAGTTGGGAGCTTCTAGGACGGTCATGAAGCTGCTGCTGCTGCGAAAGATCTTGCTGCTACTGTTATCCAGAGATGCATCGGAGGCGATACTGGTCGTGGACCTGTAGTTATAGACGCCATCACCATCGCCGTCTATTTCGCCATCCATTTCCTCCTCCTGGTCGGAGCTGCTGCCCTGCGTGGCCACAAAATGATCGTGCTTCTGCTGCAGGCCGCTCAGCTCGTAGTTGATCTTCATGTACTTCTCCTCCAGATCCTTGGTGGTCTCGTTGTACTCCTGCAGTTCCTGCTTGTACTTGCTCAGCTCCTCCTTCAGCTTCGCCCCAATCTCGTCGGAGTTTTGGGGCTTCTGCAGACGAGCATCCCGAACGCGTTCAGTAGTGCGATAGGAGACGGATCTCTTTTTCACAGGCTTCAGTATCCGATGCCTGCCATCGCACTCATACTCATCCTCATCGTCGAGCTTCGGATCGGTCTCATCCACCTCGCTGAGAGCCAGATCTGCGTCACCTTGTCCGTCTCCGTGATGCTCGTCACGGGTCATACTGGAGGGGGTCGACTCCAGCGAGTCAATCTTCGGACCCTTGACTGCTGGCCCCACCAGGGCGGATGCCTTTCGCTGCATACTGACGCAGCTGCTCTTCTTACCCAACTCCTCTCTTTTCACCTCGGTGGGATCCAGCTGCAAGTCGTTACCCATCGACTCCATCGACTATTATTACGGTTAGAATCTGTTCCAAGGCTGCCTCGGCAGACTGTCGGCTGTGAGCGGTGGTTTCTAGTTTGTGACGGCTTTTGGGGGTTGACGTTTGACGCCTACTAAAATTTAGCGTTTAACAACTACTTAAATTTAGCGTTTGATCTGATTGAATTCGCACTAGTTAAATTTTAACGCTGTTTTTGCTAACAGAAAATTTTTATAATAATATATACTATAACGCTCGTTACCTAAAATTAATGAATTTGAAGTTCTACTCCCGACTACTAGAAATCGACTGGCTCCAAATGATTTTTCCAGGCCTACTTTTTATGTTGAAAAAATTCTACTGCTGCTTGAAAATAACTTTGGGAAATTTAATAAAATTAAGAAAGTAATCTAAGAATTTGCCAATAAAGGAGAAGAGTTCTCTCATTGCTATTCCTTTTTTCGATGGCCTTTTTTATGGTCTTATGGCATACATATCTTCTCAACCTTTTCAAATTTATTATTAGGTAAGCAATACCTTTTTTTTATCCGTCATACAATATTTCTACGCATTAAGTCAGAAAGAAGTACTGGCCAAAGTGTATTGCCTTCTTTTTGGTATGCATATATTTTTATAAAATAAAAATTGTCGGTAAATGTTCGATAAATCGTGAACAAAAAATACCCTCAATGGACTGATGACTTATCAAGAATTTACGTGCAGAAACTATTTGGCGGTGGGAATAAAATTTTTAAGTCTCATTTTTGCCCATACAAAATGTAAACATATTCATGTATTTCCGTCGTCCCACCAAAAAGGAAAGTCATGCTCTATGGTGGTCTCCAAGGTGATTTTTATTGGATGGTCCGTGGCGTTGGCCTGTTAAGGAGTAAGAAAAATTAAGAGAGCGGTTTGCTTAGGGATTGCATTGGATTTAATGTACAACCAGTTAGTTGAGGTAAACTCCAGCGGCAGGACAGTACCGGTTTCTGCTCCTTGAGTGGTGTAGGTGGTGATGGCTGAGGAGTTTGGGTCTCCTCGGTTGGAACCTCTATTATCAACGCTGTTGGGGACTCTATCTATTTTGTAAATATGCAAAATAGCATGTATTCCAGGCCATAGGAGACCTGTTTAATCCTAAGGTAGAAAAGAAACTGGACAAATATGTGAATGCGAAGAAGAGCTAAATGGCATAATAATAATAATAATAATGGCAATAAAGGTGGAGGAAGTATAATTTATTAAACAATAGCATAAAATGTTCTACCTCAGCTTTAACCTTATGAGACCGTAAATTGGTGGAGCAGTCCTACTTTTGAAAATACAACATTACCTCGATAAGGCGGTGTTGGAAAAAAATTCCACGTAAATTCTTGATAAATCGCGGTCCATTATCGGTTTGTTTTGGAGCATAGGCCCAAACATTTACCCAAACTATATCAATTTCTCTGGATGATTAACTAAATTTTCTTATGGCTAGTGGACTTAGACACCTTTAGGTTTTCTGTCCCTCACTAAGCGTCACCCTTCGAGTCGATTCATTAATTTTTTCGGAATCACAGCAGGCCGTTCCCAAGGTGCTATCATATTCCCACTCGGCTTATACGGTTCCGTGCCTCAGTTGATTTTATACGTTTAGGAATAATACAACAGCTTCGCTGAAAAATTTTTTAGTGTATTTTATTTTCGAAATTTACCGGGAAAAGGGGGATTAAAAAAAAAAGTAAACGCTCAGAAAACGTATAAAATTAAGAGGATATTCGTAGAATTTTGTTTCATTGCGAGTGAACCGTAGCAAAACTAAAGGATGGCGGATACGGAGAATACCGACGAGCCCGGGGAGTACGAGGATGAGCAGAGGTTCATGGAGGAGCACCTGATGGAGGAGGGGATCGAGGATGATCTGTTCTCGCGCCTGGGTGAGTCCTCCGACGATCCAGAACAGAAGCGCATGTACATGGAGTATCTGGCTCTCATCAAGGAGATCGACTGCCAGAACAAGATCATCCAGGACATCAAGTCTAATGTGATGGACCTGTGCTCCAAGCCCTGCCAGACGCGCAACGAAATGCGCGAGATCAAGCGCCTGCGCGTGTGCATGGAGCAGGAGAACATCAAGCTCCACACCATGATGCGGCGGGCCATTGAGCTGCAGAACTTTGGCTCGCACCGTCACTACAAGGAGGTGAACCTGACCACCACCGTGGACGAGGACCAGCTCTCGCCCTACATGTGCATGGGTGCTACATGTCCCGGTGGACAGCCGAACAGCGGAGCTACCGAGCCCTGCAGCGAGGATGCTAGCTCATGTGCCAGTGTCTGCGGCGGTGGAGGCGGTGGTGGTGGTGGTGGTGGTGCCATGGATGAGCGGCTAATCTGTGCCCTGCAGAAGGCCATGCAGAAGATGAAGGGCGCCTGTCCGGAAGACAAGCGGATGATGCAAGAGATTGCAGCTGCGATCATGGCCTGCAAAAACAAGCCCGTATGCAGTCCGGGGCCCTGTGGGGCGAAGCCCTGCCCGGAGAGCAGCAGCAGCGTGTGCCCGCCCGCACCGCCCTGTCGTTCGACGAAACGGTCGCATGCTCATGGCCATGCCGCCCCATGTCCACAGAATTCCTCTGCGCCATCAGTCACGTCCATGGACAAGCTGAAGCATCGCATTGTGAAAATGCAGTGTTCGGTGAAGAGGCTGCTGAACGAAGTGAACCGTCGTGAATCCGCTGGTCCGTGCGATGAGGGAAGCGACGAGGAGGACTCGCGCCCATGTCCGTCACGGCCGCCCTGCCCAGAGGAACCCGATCCACTAATCATCTGCGGGGGGAAGCGCAACACCAAGGCGGACAAGTACGAGAAGATGAAGGAGAACTACACGCGTCTGCTGACAGAGTTTCAGCGCAAGGACTGCCAGATGAAGGAGATGCAGAAGCGGTAAGTGTCCCCCAACGGGAGCTCCCATTAAATCTATATGTGCTTCCATTCCTCCCCCTAGAATGAAGGGCATTTGTGGTAGCAGTCCATCGAAAGGCGCCGACGGAGATGCCGATGCTGCCGAGCTGAATCTTCTGCGTGCTCGCGTCAATGAGATGAAGGAGGAGCAGCAGGAGTTCAAGTGCATTATGAAGGAGCAGTCGCAGCAGCTGGAGGACTACCGCAACAAGTACCTGCTCGCCCAGCAGAAGGTCGAGGAGCAGTGCGTATCGCTGGAGAAGCTCAACATGAACAACAAGCGCATCGAGCAGCAGATCAACACGGAGGTGAAGGAGATCCGGGCAAAGTTCCAGGAGAAGCTCAACGAGCTGCTCCACTTCCCTAAGCTGCTGGAGAACGAGCAGCTGAAGCTGGCCCAGATCTGCAAGGAGAAGGACGAGATGCAGGGAAAGCTGGTGGTCGTCTGCAAAGAGCTCAAGTCCTGTAAATCCCAGTTGAGCTCCCCCACCTCCGTAGACGTGCGCCCACAACTAGCCCAGTGCCAGATGGAGCTGTCCCAGGCCCGCAACGAACTGGAGGAGCTCCTGCGCCAGCGCGATCTCTTCTGCGAGCAGCTCAAGGCCACCCAGGATGATCTCGACACCTTGCGAACTGAGTCCGCCAAGATCATAGCCGGCACCAAGGAGCGCGCAGAACTGATCAAGTCCCAGCAGCAGGAGCAAATCAATCGCCTGGAGAAGGAGCTGGCCCAGTGCCGTGCCACCGCTTCCCTGTCGGTCAACGATCGCGAAGCCGTCATCCGGGAGATGCAAGGTCAACTGAATACCCTCTCGTACAGCTTCGATGCCGCCCAGAAGCAGATCAAGACCCTACGCAACCACATTGCTTATGTGTCCAATGAGAACTGTTTCCCAGTCAAGTGTTAGATCACACACGCGATTCCTTCGGCCCCCAACGCCAGAGTGCAGTGAAGTAAGACATGATTAATGATCAAAATTTGTTCTGTTAACCCATACCATTCGAAACCAAGTCCTAGTAAATATAATTGCAATTTTTCGGCCTGATAAGCGAGCACCCGAAATGTCATTTGAAGCAGTGCTTGCTTCGAGAGCGAGTGTGAAGGCGTTGGGCAAGAGATTGAGCATCTAACTGTGTGCAACTTCTCGGTTTTGCCCTCTCTTGTAATCCAAAAGATGTGAAACCTGACGTCTCGTAGATATAAAGGGTTATCTTATCGGTATAATCAGCTTATCTGCTAGGTTTAGGTAGGTATAATTTAGATTGTGTAATTTCGTTTTTGGCGCTCCATAGGAAAAAATATATAATATATTGCTTTATTCTGTGGCATTTGAGGAACAACTACAAATGGTCAATTTATGTACTTTAAGGAGGAGCGCTCCTGAGAGACAACTAATGGCAAACTGTGAAGCAAATCTACAATGATTTGACGGCCAGTCGCTTCATTTTGGGGGCATTCTTTTTGGCCTGCCGCTTCTGTTCTTTGGCCTCCCAGCGGCGCTGTTTCTCTGGATCCTCATCGGCCAGAATGCGCTCCTTCTCCTGCTTGCGCTTGTCCTCGCGACGCTGAGCGGCTGCCTCGGCACGTGCAGCATGTGTGCTCTTTAAGAACTCCTCCTCAACGCGCTGGCGATTCTTGTCCGACTTCGACTTGCCCTGGAAATGCATTTTAAAAGGTGATTACCTGTAAGAAAGATGTGATCGATTAATGCAATACCTCCTTGGACATGCGATAAGTCTTCAAACGTTCCATTAAATAAAAGATCAACAATAACAACGGCTTAATGGTTTCCATTTCGGCATGCTTGGGCAGATTGAAACCGGCTAGAAGGACGGGCTTGGTCTCCAGCTGCTTCAGTGTATTGCCCTCCTCCTGCTGGATGGGGCCACTGAACTGGTCCGAAATGTGCAGGTAATCGATATAGCTTTGGTATTTGTTAAGTGCAGTAATAATACGTGATTCGAGTATGGCAGATGTGGCCTCTGGCACCTCCGAGAGCACTGCGAAGCCGTTGGGCACATTGTAGCGATCCTCCGGCTTCCCGACTAGACTACAGAATTTGCTCTGCAATGGCAACAAGTGTTTGGAATCGAATTCAAATTGGGAATACATAGGTATATCCTCTTACCAAATCTGTATATTCCTTAAAGACCTTGGTGATGGTCTTTTTAGTGCCGACTGCAAATACAAATGAATCCATTAAGCCACGCGTCAAATCGATTTTGATATGGACCGTATCGAGCTGGGGACGCATCAGTCCCGCCACCAGGGACACCAAATCCTGGCGCTTAATCATCTTCAGCTCGACGAGCATGCCCTCGCAGCAGGTGCGTCCCGAGCACCAGAGCGTGTACAGGCTCTCGCTCTCCTTAATCAGACCGGGACTCTCATTCTCCGGCTTTCCGTCATCCCCCACTAGGGCAAAGTTCTCGTCCAACAGAGCCTTGTGCGTGCTGAACCAGAGCTGCGCCAGTCGTGCGTTCTTCGCCTTTCCCGCAAAGAAATTGGCAAAGTACGCAAGCAGACCCGCAACCATCAGCATCTCCATCCAATAGGAGTCCCAGTGGGTGCGGAAGTGCAGTGGGATATTGGGTATGTTGAGCTTGGGCTCGGCCTGCTCGTCGATTGGCGGGTCCTTGGCGTCGCCACCGTCGTAGCCCTCGAACTCCTCCTCGTCCTGGAAGTGCTCGAACTCGTCGTCCTCCTCTACAAGGCCGTCCTCCTCGTCGTCGTCAACGATTTGTGGCTGCTTGCGTGGCGGCACTTGTTCCTCCCTAGATCCAATGGCTCCACCAGCTTCACCTGCTGAATTGGACTCTGCATTTTTGGCCGCTGGCTCTGTGTAATAGTTGGAACCCACGAACTCATCATCGAATTCGGCAAAATCATTGTCATTATCGCCTTCCTCGAAGTCCGACTGCGCCTGGCACGCACAGATGAGCGCCAGCAGCAAAAAGGCAAATACTGGTCGCATTGTTAACAAATACTTTCCACAATTGTTACGTTTTGTGTGCTTAACTATGTTACAATTTCTCTAAATGTGCTTATACTATATTTTCACTAATTAAGAAAAAAAAACTAGGTTAAATTAGAAATATCGATGGAATTTTGAGTTGGTCTATCGATGGTTAAATTATGTACATCGATAGTGTTAAGCCGCATCCCTAAGTAAGTTGCAAGGTGTGCGACCTAGATAGGGAACAAAAAGTGTGCAGAGATATTCATATTGATGGTTGTACACTGCATTTTAAGTTAATGATGTGAACCGGACTCGAAAAGCAAGCAGTGTGAACAACAGAAACATGCCAACAACCAATCAATAATTAATTAACCAATTAATTATTAATTTATTATTCTTCAGCAGCCCTGCGTCACCCCTTCAGGCTTTTCCACAGCGATTCTGTCTATCGACTATCGATTTTCTTTTGGTAAACACGTTGCACTGGCAATATTGCTTTTAGTGCGGAAATCTGTATAAAACAATTGTTTTAAACAATTGCGACGTGCACTAATCTAAAATGGTGAGTAATAATGGTTGATGGAAATCTCCGCAGAGCTCTTTTATCTGGTGGTGGCTAAATTCAGCAAACTGCCACGAAAGCATGCCGGCTGATGCAATATTTTCCGGGAATTCTTCTTCATTCATACATATGCGCCCTTTTTAAAATGCAAATTTCGTTGTGTGCACTAGGCGAATATCGAGCGGAAAGGCACCTTCAAGGTGGAATACCTGCAGAAGATCGAGCGCGAAGTCCAGGAGCGCTGGGAAAAGGAACAAGTCCATCAGACGGATGCACCGGCGGCGCCAAAGAAGGAACAGTCGGAGAAATTCTTCGTCACGTTTCCCTTTCCCTACATGAATGGACGTCTGCATTTGGGCCATACATTTAGTTTGTCCAAGGCGGAGTTTGCCGTGCGGTACCATCGGCTGAAGGGACGTCGCGTCTTGTGGCCCTTTGGCTTCCATTGCACTGGAATGCCGATCAAGGCATGTGCCGACAAGTTGACGCGCGAAATGGAACTGTTTGGTTACCCTCCCCAGTTTCCAGAGGCGGTGGAAGAGGCACCCGTTGAGGAGACCAAGTCGGAGATACCCAAGGATAAGTCTAAGGGCAAGAAAAGCAAGGCTGTGGCCAAGACGGGAGCGGCCAAGTACCAGTGGCAGATCATGCAGAGTCTGGGCCTCAAGGATGAGGAAATCAAAGAGTTCTCCGACCCCCAGCATTGGCTGAACTACTTCCCACCTCTGGCGATACAGGACCTAAAGAGCATTGGTGCCCACATCGATTGGCGGCGCAAATTTATCACAACGGATGCTAATCCCTTCTTTGATTCGTTTGTCCGCTGGCAGTTCAATCATCTGAAGCAGCGCGGCAAGATTATGTACGGAAAGCGCTACACCATCTACTCACCCAAGGATGGACAGCCGTGCATGGACCACGATCGTTCCACTGGCGAGGGCGTGGGCCCGCAGGAGTACACTCTGATAAAAATGAAAGTGCTGCAGGCACCCAAAGTATTGAGGTCTGAAATAGTCATTTATTACCCCGCTTCGATCGTGATTTAAGCGGTGTTTCTTTTGCAGCGCTATCAAGAAACCCATTTACATGGTTGCCGCCACACTGCGGCCGGAGACGATGTACGGCCAGACCAATTGCTGGCTGCATCCGGACATCAAGTACATTGCGTGGCAGACCTCTCGGGATGAAGTTTGGATCAGTACTCGTCGTGCTGCGCGGAACATGGCATACCAGGGATTCACTGCCGAGGAGGGCAATATTGTTGTGCTGGCCGAGATCACAGGCCTAGAGCTGTTGGGTACTCCCCTCTCGGCACCATTGACGTCCCACAAAATCATATACACGCTTCCCATGCTAAGCATCAAAGCGGACAAGGGCACGGGTGTGGTTACCTCAGTGCCTTCCGACTCGCCCGACGATTACGCTGCCCTGGTTGATCTGCAGAAGAAGGAGGCGTTCCGCCAGAAGTACGGACTAAAAGATGAGATGGTTCTGAACTATGAGCCTTTCCCGATCATTGAGGTGCCTACGCTGGGCAAGCTCTGTGCCGTTCATGCCTACAATACACTTAAGATTCAGTCTCAAAACGACAAGGACAAGCTCGCCGAAGCCAAGGAAATGTGCTACCTGAAGAGTAAGCGACTGCCGCCTTATAGAGATTCACATTCATATTTAATTTGGAATCCTTTTCAGGTTTCTATGACGGCATCATGTTGGTTGGGGAATTTGCCGGCAGCAAAGTCCAGGATGTCAAGAAGAATCTGCAAAAGAAGATGGTGGATGCCAACGAGGCGGAAGTCTACTATGAGCCGGAAAAGACCATCCTGTCTCGCTCGGCCGATGAGTGTGTGGTGGCGCTGTGCAATCAGTGGTACATCACCTACGGCGAAACCGTTTGGAAGGAGCAGGCTTTCAAGATACTGCACGACATGGAGACCTTTCACGAAGAGGCACGCAACAATTTCGAGGCGTGTCTGAACTGGCTGCATGAGTACGCTTGCTCGCGCACCTACGGTCTGGGCACCAAGCTACCGTGGGACGAGCAGTGGCTGATTGAGTCTTTGTCGGACTCCACCATCTACATGGCATACTATACAGTTGTGCATCTGATACAGGGCGGAAGCCTTCGTGGCGAGAAGCCCGGTCCCTTTGGTATGTCAATTTTCGGTTAATTTAATGATATACCCTCTTAATCTATTACCATCTTTGTTGTAGGCATCACTCCAGCTGACATGACCTCTGAGGTCTGGGACTATATCTTCTTCAAAGAGACACCGCCACCAAAGAAGTCAAACATTAAGCTGGAGCATTTGGCTGTGTTGCGTCGCGAGTTCGAGTATTGGTATCCCATGGATCTCCGTGTTTCTGGCAAGGATCTGATCAATAACCATCTGACTTTCACTCTGTACAATCATGCCGCCATTTGGCCCAAAGATGACACAAAGTGGCCCAAGGGCATGCGCGTAAATGGACACCTGCTGCTCAATTCCGCAAAGATGTCCAAGTCGGATGGCAATTTCCTCACCCTAACCGATGCCGTGGAAAAGTTCTCGGCCGATGGCATGCGTCTGTGTCTAGCCGATGCCGGTGACAGCATTGAGGATGCCAACTTTGTCGTGAGCACAGCGGATGCGGGCATCTTGCGGCTGTTCACGTTCATCGAGTGGGTCAAAGAGATGCTGGAAACGAAAAGCACTCTGAGAAAGGGCGCCGCCAGAACGTTTAATGATCAGGTTTTCCTTAGCGAGCTGAACCTCAAGACACAGCAGACGGACGACAACTATCGGAAGATGCTGTTTAAGGAGGCTCTGAGGAGCGGTTTCTATGAGCTGCAGCTGGCCCGCGACAAGTACCGCGAGCTGTGCGGCACCCAGGGTATGCACGTGGAGCTGGTGCTAGAGTTCATACGTCGTCAGGCTCTGCTGGTGGCTCCTATCTGCCCGCACATGGCGGAACACGTTTGGGGACTGTTGGGTAACAAGGAGTCCATTGTCCACGCTCGCTGGCCCGAGGTAGGGGCCATCAATGAGCTCGATATTATGAGCTCCGAGTACCTCATGGAGTCGGCTCACGCCTTCCGTCTCAACCTAAAGAACCTGCTGCAGCTGAAGGCCAAGGGTGGCAAAGAGAAGGCACTGGATCCGCAGACAGCGAAACCCAATCGTGCCCTCATTTGGGCTGCCAAAACCTATCCGCCCTGGCAGTGCTGTGTCCTGGACACCATGCGGGAGCTGTTCAACAAGTCCAAGGCCTTGCCGGACAACAAGGTGATTGCTGCCACCCTCCAACAGAAGGCAGAACTCAAGAAGTTCATGAAGCGAGTGATGCCGTTCGCTCAAATGATTCGCGAAAAAGTGGAGTCCGGCAAGGGAGTAGCGGCCCTGGCTGTAAACCTGGATTTCGATGAGCGGCAAGTGCTAATCAGCAATCTGGAGTACCTCAAGAACACCCTGGATGTGAGATAAATCCCACAGTTAATATAGTTCTCCATTAACTCCTATGCTTTGTTTTTTCATAGCTGGATTCTCTGGAAGTAAAGTATACCGATGATCCCTCAGCACCAGAGAAAACTCGCGAGGAAGTGCGCCCTGGCTCGCCTTTCATCAGCTTTAGTGTGGCACCCAATGTGAGCGTTGAGCTGGTGAATCCCACAGAGCGTTCGTCGCTCTTCCAAATCAACACCATCATCTCCGAGGGCGATACAGTGCAGTCGTTGCGTGAGAAGATCTCCAAAGTAATTGGGCTCAAAACGGATCTGTCTAATCTTAAAATCTGGCGATTCGATGACCTACTGCTGGGTCCCCGCAAGATACCCAACTTTCAGGATTATAAAACGGGCAAAACGCTGCTCAGCGAGGGAAATTTCATCCTGGATGTCGCCGACAAGCGAGTGAGCGTGGAGCAGGGAGGCAAATTAACCGAAGTGGGTCGGAATCTGATCTATGTGGTAGAGTAAATAGATGCGGTTAAATAGGTGCATACTAAACTAATTTATTCACAAAGGGAATGAGTAACCTTTTACAACAAGTTGATGGCTATTAAAGAATTAACTTACTGTACTGCCAAATGCATTTGACCCAATTACAAATACCCATATACCTTATAATGGCTGCAAGCGATTTGATTACGAGCTCACCCAAGGCCAAGAAACAGTATTTTTAGAGACCACATCCCATAAGCCAGCCCTCAGAAGTACCCTAAAGAGGGTATGACAATTTTGAGCAGATGTTTGCAACGCAAAGAACGCACCTATGAACGCAAACTAGTCTCCCAGTTTGGAAGCTAACATAAGAAAATTGTGCACATGCTCCTTTATGACTCTGTAGATCATGTGTCCAAACCGTCGGTGTGGCAAAAAACAAGTCTTTCAACTAAAAATATCTTAGAGCTTCCTCAGATACTACTGATCTAAAAGGGTATCAAAACCTTCGACCCGTTATGCTGGTTTTTACTTCTTGTTGGTTTGTGTGTCAGTCGGCTGATAATCCCCTCAGCGGTGGCTCAGCGAGTTTTTTGGGAGCAGTGGGTGGCTATCAGCTAGCCAAGAGCCCATCCATAGCATATATAAGGCTTTAACATTAAAAGAATCCAAAGAAAAGTTTAGTTTAGAACAGTCATGTTGAGTCTTCGAGTGTTTCTCTTGCTGCAGTGCAGCCTTTTGGTCTTTGGGGGCGTGTGCCTTATACCGCAGCCGATTATGCGACAGCGTTCCCTGAAGGATACGCTTCTGAAGACCCAGCCACGTCTAGATGGTCGCATTGTGGGTGGACATCGCATCAATATCACCGATGCGCCACATCAGGTGTCGCTACAGACTTCCAGTCACATTTGTGGAGGATCCTTGATATCCGAGGAGTGGATTCTGACCGCTGCCCATTGCACATAGTGAGTCATAGGATGCCACACCACACCACTTCTTTCTTCAAGGGTTTAACTGTTATCTTTCTGTTTCAGTGGCAAGACTGCCGATCGTTTAAAGATTCGCTTGGGCACCTCAGAGTTTGCTCGCAGCGGAGAGCTACTCCGTGTCAAGCAGATCGTCCAGCATGCCCAATTCAACTTTTCGAACGTAGACTACGACTTCTCGTTGCTGCAGCTCCAACATCCCATTAAATTCGATGAGACCAAGAAGGCCATCCAGCTCCCGGAGCCCCAACAGCAGCTTATGGATGGGGAGACCTGCTTTGTGAGTGGCTGGGGGAATACCCAGAACCTCCTGGAGTCCCGCGAGTGGCTGCGGCAGGTGGAGGTGCCGCTGGTCAACCAGAAGGTGTGCAGCGAAAAGTACCAGCAGTATGGCGGCGTGACCGAGCGTATGATCTGTGCCGGGTTCATGGAGGGTGGCAAGGATGCCTGCCAGGGTGACTCCGGCGGCCCAATGGTCAGTGAATCTGGCGTTTTGGTGGGAATTGTCAGCTGGGGCTATGGCTGTGCCAAGCCCGACTATCCAGGCGTTTACTCCCGCGTGGCATTTGCCCGCGATTGGGTGAAGGAGCACAGCGGCATCTAGCATGAAAAGTTCGTCAATAAACCGCATTAAAAATCGACTAAAAGGGGATGGCGTTTCAAAATCAGGTTTCCTTCAAGAGGTTTCCATGCACACGTTGCCAGCACGAAATTTACTTGCCAAACACGCGATTGTCTTCCCCCTGTCTGCACATTTCGCTGGCAGTGGCGGTTGCGTTGTTGGCGCAGCTCCGTGGGGCACATTCTAGCAGCGGAGGTTGTTCAGCGCATGACACATAACTGCGATGCATCTGTATAGTTCGAGTATGGCTTTGGCTGGGAAAGGGGGCGCTCACGGCAGCTCACGTTTGGAGCTATCGTTATTTCTTGTTCTGATTCAGGTGTGATACATGTGGCGTATGCGCATTTTTCGCGTTACGTATCCGACAGGAGTAGGATGAGACGAGTACACCTATCCATCGCCTCACACGAGTGGGGTCTTACTCGATTATAAATTGGCTCTCTTCCCCCTTTTCACACGCCGCAAACCTCGTCCTTACAGGATTACAAAATAGATACATATGTATATGTATTTTCGTTTGCGTTGGGTGCGTCTAGATAAAGGGGAATTCCACATTTGAGTTTTTAGATGTAAGAATACTAGTAGGTGAACAAATCTTGAGCTTTTCAGACGCGTAAATAAAAAATTATAAAATGTTGTGGTAAGTGGAAAGGAGGTACAGCTTGCTTAAATCTAATATTTAAAATAAATTATGCCAATTGCTGCTTTAACACTGCCAGAAAAAAGAACAAAGTAGCTTTAAAAATGCCACAATGTGAATTCCGTGAAATAAAACGCTTTATTTATTTAATTGAAGGCAAAGCTATGACGATCTGACTATTGTCTAAATAGTCTATTGTTTAGAATCATTGAATGAAGCGGCAGCTTTGAAGAAACCAAACGTATACATAAATGGTTTAACGATAGAAAAACTTCAAGAAGGATTCGCATATGCTAGCAGTTTGTAATCGTGCTTCGCGAATTTTGATCCGCTTACCGAAAGTTTTGATCTTTTACAGATCTTATTTTTGACTGTGCAAAATAGAAAGATAAGATTATATTGCGCCACTGTTTTCTAGTAGATCTTGTAAGCAAAGTGCACTCTCGGTTGACTGCATTGATCTATTCTACTGACGATCTACAGTTGAATAACTATAAATAATAATGGTCTGTCCTTGACATTTGGCTTCCTTGCGATTTCGTTAAGTAACATACGATTACACAAGACATAATTAACAAGTCACATTAGTATCAATGGAATTTTTCTACAGATAAGTAATATTAGACAGCACTCTTCAAACTTCTTCAATAAAACTTTCATTCTTCCTCAAGCATTTTTTGTTTTCATGGTGCATAAATTCCCTTTAATATGATCTCTCAGCCCAAGACAACAACTAACACACCAAAAATATATGCATTCATATGATTGAATAATATTTGGACCAAGTCGCTGTCAAGGGCCTGCTCTGTTGTTTTCAACGTGTGTAGTGTTTATTTGTGAGTGGAAATTGGAGAACCCCAAGGTGTGATGCATAGCGCCGACAGCAGAAGCGCGCCGCGCCGCGCCGCCCCATTCCCATTCCATTGATCCCCACAGTTCATTTACAGCCGCGAATTGTTGACGACGCGTCGCTTTCTGGGGCTCTTGCGCCGTAGAGCAAAGTCCGAGGTATTCAACCCACTCTGTCGCAGTGCGTAGACCTCCTCCCTCCTTCTCGTGCTCGTGTGTAAGAACCAACTGTTGACTTCCTGCCAGAGGGTTAGGCAACAGAAGTGAGCAGTCGGGCAATCATCATTCAGCAACGTCATAATCATTCAGCCACAGCCGAACGGCGAACACCCTGCCTGTCGCAAATGCCTATAGATATGTGAAGCGAGTCGTGTCTAATCGACTCCCCATTGTGTCGAAAGGCTAAGGGAAAAGCGTTTAAAGCTAAGCGGGTAAAGCAATGTCTTTACACTGAGAGAAAATGTCTCAAATGGAGCTACAATTGAGGAATTCTAATAGCCCTAAAGATTGGTTCTTAAAATGGAATAAGAGCAAAGATCTCAAAGTAATATGGAAGAAGAGATCTCTTTTGGGTTAAACGATAATTTTTTATTCGGAATAAGATTAACATGTATTGTATTAAATAATTTAAACATATAGTTAACTATGAGAAGGCCGAAAGCCGTGGTCACCCTTAATAGGTAATTGTATACTGAATGCTGCAATCATGAGATTATACTCACGAAAGTGTACACTATTATATCTACATTCAATTTTCATAACTTTAGATACTTTTTCTTTACCACTTTAAGATTAAATTATTGATCCAATAACGTGAGATTTTCGCCAGTGTATATGAATTTGTTGCTGGCATAGCTGTGTTGCTGCCTTGCTATTCATGGTTATCGAACATTCTCATCCACTAGACAAACAAACGTGCCGCACGTTGTCGCTACACGTGAGTGGGGGCACTGTCTCACTTAGTCAGAGCGAGAGGGCCAAGGCAGAGCTGTTCGCTGCTCTCACGAATGCGGCACACGGTACCCGAACGAGACACGAACCGAGGGGCCGGCGACAACTTGTGGCTCTGGGGGGTGGCTTCGGCTTTTGGCATCTCATGCGGCTGCAATGTGAATAACGAATATTGTGTGTTCGTGTGGGTGTATCTGCCGTGTTCGGGTGTTCGGCTGCTCAACGATTGCTTCGGCGTTGCAGCGCTGCGACTGCAGCAGAAGCTATTAGATGCGGCACGCAGAATATAAGTAGCATACAACTCTCAGAGTTTCTTCAAAGCGGTTCGATTCGCGCAACAGCAAACATACTCCCAGTAATATATAATTAAAAATATTCCTAATATTTCAGAAAGTTCTTGAGATATTGAATCTATTATATTAATTGGGGTTTCCCTGATTGTAAGTTTCACATAATAAATCATAAAAGTTTGTCAAACATTGTTCCAAAAAGTAAAATCATTTCCAATGCATTCGGAAAATGCATAGCAGAAGTATTTATTTTTTATTATTATTTTTGTAAAAGTGTGTGCATATATTCGTGTTTTGGTATTGGTGCAAGTGAATGACTATATCTCTGTCCCTTTCTTTTACAAAGACAGCAATTGAAAAAAGTGGATTTTAACTCGCACGAGTATTATAGGTAGTTGGTGGATTTTAGATTAGACAGACTTTAAAAAGAACATGCCCAGAAAGAAAACTATAATTAGTGAGAATGTGCAGAAGATCGAGACCTCAGAATGTGATATATATGATATAAAATAAAACATATAACAGACCTATAGAAAATCTAATCGAAATATCAATTATTTACAAACTATTTTCAGAGTTATATAGCACATCAGAGTTTTCAGACTAATAAGTGTGATTTTTACGGCACGAAAAAGTACACACAAAAAACAATATTAGAACCAGATAAACCCAACCAAGTGCATGGAAAAGCTCAACGAAATAATCTACCAGACATATTTCGCAGAATTCAAATCACTCTCAAACCACGGTGGAAAACCAGACATATACCCAGACAGAGGCAGAAGAGAATATAATCCGGTAAGAGACATAGAGAACACGAGCATTAAGAGCAATGGGGCGGGCGGGGATTCACGACCTATCACAGCTGGCACTCACGTAGGCCCCTTCTGAAAAGCACAGAAAAGCTGAGGGAAAAAAGCTTGAATTATCGCCAGATTTGAATAAGAAATAATTTATAGCTTAATATATACATATATTGGTATGATATTGAATGTTATCAAAGGGTTTTTCATGTACAGACATGTTCCATATTCTTTCTCATTATTTCCAAGAAAAACTGGAAAATTCCCAATAAAATTCTGTCCCAAAGGCTTATGTAAGTTGCAGCCGTTGAACTGCCTGCAATTGACAGAATTGGAGGCCTGGCCTTCAATTGTTGGGCTGTCAAAAGAAGTTCCACAAACATCAAACAAATTGGGGGAATTACCGTGCCTGTCGCTCTGGTTTGCTGTACCACAAAGATTCTGGGGCGGACACCATCCATCCATCCATATTTCCCTGGGTTCTAGGCATCTTTCTTCCCTCAGCCTCATTTGATTTTCAAAATATTTGTTTATTTATCTTGGCTTTCCATTTAAAATGCAAAATACGAGCTAGGTCATTCGTGGAATTGCTTGAATGAAATTCTTTTTCTCAGTCAGTCAGAAATTCAGTCATGAAGCCAATGCGCATATCATTTGCAGTTTTTCTTGTTCTTGGCTTCGCTACGAGTTTTATGTAAGTTTCATTCTATGATTTCATAACCAATCGACGGAAATGGTATTGGGGTTGCACGGAGTTCTCTATAGAGATTGATGGACGAATAAGATGCTTGTAAAAATTGGCGATTTTGTTGAATTTATAACTAATAGTTTAAAGGCTATAGAGATATTCAAAAGTGCCATTGGAGCTTAGCAGGATATTCATAAAGAAAGTATAAACTATACATATTTGTGGAAGATAATCTTTGGGAAAACAAGAATTTCTTTAAGCGATATCTCTTCTATATATTCAAGAATTTTACCTTTAAATTCCATTTAAATTTGAAATGTTCCCTTTCCCAGGCTTTGGCTTCTCTTAATTATAAATCTATTACCTTTAATTTTTAATTTTGTTCTAACAGAAGGGGATTATTTCCTTCATATCCCTTCAACGGATTTTCAAATGCGTGCTATTTAACGTGCTCGCCTAAAAGCTTGCCACACAATAGCCATGCCCCAGCGCCCTAGCCAGTGCCCTGCCTCTCAAAGCTTTGCTTCAAATATAGCGTTGCCTATTAGCCAGGGAAATCGACTGTACCATCAGAACAAAGCAAAACAAAAACAATTCAAAGTCAGTTAAGAGGAAGCCATAAGAACGGGGGCCCCAGGAGCTGTGTAAAATTTTCCTGCTGCCAATTCAGGCGCTAAAAATACCTCAATGGGGGGTCTCGACAGCGTCTCAATTGTTTTCTGTCTCTTCTGGCAGCTGCCACAGCCACACCCCCTGCCACTGTGGCCCCTATCTCACACCAGAAAACGGTTTATACAATCAATTTGAATCTCTGTGTGAGTCACATGCGGCGACATGCCTCTCCTCTCGAAGCTTTTCTCTGGTTATGTGTGCATCGCCATCCCCATCCCCATGCTCAGCCTCCGACTTCGTCTTTGACTGCGACTGGGTGAAGGTTGGCTTCGGGAATTTTCTAGCTGGGAAAAGTGTTGTTTCTGGGAATTTTCTTTAGCCGATGTGCCTCTCGGCTACCCAGCATGACGGGTGGCAACAGGGCTGCACGCACCTGGGCACGTGTATGGGATTCTTATTACGCTTCATATGAGAATCCTGCAACGACACGACTGCTGCCAGAGCTGCACATTGCATGTTGCGAGCATTCGATGGTCACATGCAGTCAACTCTTGGGGGGCTTGGGGATTTGGTTTCAGCTGCTGAAGAGGAGCTTGACCTTCTGGTTTTATAATTAAACGCCAGCCCAGCTACTTATTCGACTTTGTTGTGTGGGAACATTTCCTGAATGAATCGATATGAATTGGTTATGTTTCAATTGTAATTGATCATAATTAGCATCTGCATTTATGTTTTTATCAGAGTATTAGAGTTCTTAAAGTTACATTAACAAATTCAGTTTCCTACCTAGTTGCAGTTACAAAGGACCCCAAAAGGACCATCTTGCATGCTCAAGAACGACAATGAGCACTGGAATTATACAGGATCAGCTCAAGATTAAACACGACTACAATTTTATATAGACATAAAAGAGAAAAAAAGATTATGGATTGGTTACTAACGGCGCCACAGTTGCACAGCGCATTCGCTTCGCTGGGTTCCCTGGAGGGTGACACCTACGTTGTCAGTCCGAATGCATTGTGTAAGTAAGCGAAGCGCCATGCCTCTGAACGATTTCAATAAGTCGGATATTCCCCCTTTAGCCATTCTAGAGGAGATCAACCACAAGCTCACGTATGAGGACCAAACGCTGCGCACCTTTCGCCGGGCCATCTGCTTTGGCCAGAATGTACGATCCGATTTGATACCATTGCTGGAGAATGCCAAGGATGATGCGGTACTGGAGTCGGTTATCCGGATACTGGTTAATCTCACAGTGCCGGTGGAGTGTCTGTTCTCCGTGGATGTGATGTACCGCACCGATGTGGGTCGTCACACCATCTTCGAGCTGAACAAGCTGCTGTACACCAGCAAGGAGGCATTCACCGAGGCGAAGAGCACCAAGAGCGTGGTGGAGTACATGAAGCACATCCTGGAGTCTGATCCCAAGCTGTCGCCACAGAAGTGTGACCAGATCAACAACTGTCTGCTGCTGCTGCGCAACATCCTTCACATACCGGAAACGCACGGGATTTGTGTGATGCCGATGATGCAGTCCAACAATCTGCATGGCATCACCATGCAGAACACCATTCTCTGGAATCTGTTCATCCAGAGCATCGACAAGCTGCTCATCTACCTGATGACCTGTCCGCAGCGCTCCTTCTGGGGCGTCACCATGGTGCAATTGATCGCGCTGATCTACAAGGACCAGCACGTGAGCACTCTGCAGAAGCTGCTAGATCTCTGGTTCGAGGCATCGCTTTCGGAGAGCTCCGAGGACAATGAGAGCAACACGACACCCCCGAAGCAGGGCAGCGGCGAGTCCAGTCCCATGCTGACCTCGGATCCCACTGGATCGGATTCCTCGGACAATGGCAGCCAGGGACGCGGTATGAGCATCAGCATGAGCCTGAACATGAGCATGAGCATGAGCATGAACGTCAGCATGAGCAGTCTCTGTGGCAAGAAGGAGACCCCCGAAGAGCGGCAGCTGGCCTTATGGGAGGGCACCGAAGCCACTCTCCAGGAGGTGAGCCGCAAGGGTCAGGAGTATCAGGATGCTATCGATGCCAAAGAGCGCATGGGATCTGCTGGGATGGACGATGATGAGGATTATGAGGACTCCGATTTTATACATCTGCAGCTCCACCAAGCCATGCAGGCCGAGGAGGAGGACGAGGAGTGTGACAACGAGGTGGCGGCCGCGTCCTCGGAACCCTTGAATCTTAAAACACAACCAGCTGACAATGTCAACGACACTACCACAACCACGAGCCTATCGAGCAGTATCATGCCGTTCAGGTCACCCCTGCCCGTCGGCAGTCGGCCATCTTACTCGCATGCCCCGCCGCAGCACCAGAGCTATGCGGCCTATGTGGCAGCCATCAAACTGAGCCAGAAGTCCCCACATGCCGGCAAACTGCAGCTGACGAAAGGCAAATGCTGTCCCCAGAAACGAGAGTGTTCATCGACGCAGTCGGAGCTCTCGGACTGCGGCTATGCCACGCAGGTGGAGAACCAGGAGTCAGTATCCACCTCCAGCAACGATGATGACATGCCGCAGGGCAAGCCGTTGCACCAGAAGCCGCCATGCAACACAAAGCTCAGGAATAAGCAGCGTCCAATTCTGCCGCCCCTGGACAAGAAGGAGCTGCGGCGCAAGAAGCTAGTGAAGCGCAGTAAGAGTAGTCTGTGAGTATTCAAAAGAACTTTTGGGGGTTACGGCGAGTGTATAATCTAAGGTTTTTACACCCAATCCAGCATCAACATGAAGGGCCTCGTGCAGCATATACCCACGGACGATGATATTGCCAATCTACTCAAGGAGTTCACCGTCGACTTTCTCCTCAAGGGCTACAATTATTTGGTGGAAGACCTGCATGCCCAGTTGCTCACAAATACAGTAAGTGGAAACAAACTCAAGCCCTAAGCCATGCCAAAACCATACACTAATCCTCTAATATGTTCAACAGCTACCCATTGACACGTCGCACTTTTTCTGGCTGGTCACGTACTTCCTGAAGTTTGCAGCACAACTGGAGCTGGACATGGAGCACATTGACACGATACTCACCTACGATGTCCTCAGTTACCTCACCTACGAGGGTGTCATGCAGTGCGAGCAATTGGAGCAGTGTGCAAGGCAACGGGACAGTGACCTGAAGCCCCATCTCCGACGCATGCATCTCCTGGTGACGGCCATCAGGGAGTTCCTTCAGGCCATCGAGGCATACAATAAGGTTTCGCACCTCTCGGACGATGATCGCGATCATCTGCGGCAATTGCACATACAAATAGCGGACACGTCCGATCTGCATTGTCTGTTTGTGCTGCTGCTGCGACGCTTCAACCCCACCATCTATTCGAAGCAGTATCTGCAGGATCTGATCGTGACCAATCACATACTCCTACTCATTCTGGACAATCGACCACAGCTGGATGGCAAAAAGACCGAAAATCTAACACAGCACGTTGCACAGTATGTTTAGAGACTTTCTTTACTTTTCCTGGAGGGACACTTAATAAACGGGTGTTCCATCTATATAGATTCGCCACTTTGGAGGTAATGCATTACTATGGCATCCTACTGGAGGACTTTACCAGCAATGGAGAGTTTGTCAACGATTGCATCTTCACCATGATGCATCATGTAGGTGGAGATCTGGAACAGATTGGTGTCTTATTTCAACCGATCATTCTGAAGACATATTCACGCATTTGGGAGATGGAATTCACTTTGTGTGATGTGAGTTGTTATTGAAAATCGAACGCCTTGAAAGAAAGTGTTTACTTATTGAGTAATTAATTACCATCCATAGGACTGGTCTGATCTTATCGAATATGTCATCAACAAGTTTATGAACACACCACCCAAAACACCCATGACTATACCCACAACATCGCTGACAGCCATGACCAAAGAGCATAATCTGGAGCATGCCAAATGGTAGGTTTTAGAATGAGACTTTTCTTAAATATTATCTTACTAATCATTGCTCTTTTTAGCTCTTGGAATGCCGATGAGATGGATACACTATACTGGTATTTTGTACAGAGCAGGAGCACCAACGATGTGGTCGGCAAAATTGTCCGACTCTTTAGCAACAATGGCAATAAAGAGAAATCTCGCATTTCAATCATCCAGCAGCTGCTGCAACAGGTAAAAAAAACCCCCCACAAAGAATAAAAAAATAATGTCTTCATGAATGATTTCTTAATTTCTTAAAGGATATCATTACCCTTCTGGAGTACGATGACCTGATGAGGTACGAGGATGCTGAATATCAGAGAACGCTGTTGAACACCCCTACATCGGTGACCACCGAATCGGGAATTGAGATGAAGGATGGTGGCTTTGGCAGGCCATCAGGTGATATACAGGTACATTCGCGATTCTGCCCTAAAATTGTGTGTTTACCTAACGCCCATCTTCCTACATTCCTCATTATAGATTCTTCTGGATCTAATCATCAAAGATCAAAAGGGCCAGCACTTGGAATGGGTGCAAAAGGTGCTCTTAGAATGCTGTTACATCAAATTGAACCTCAAGTCAGGCAGACAGATGCCGCACATTATGGAACCAGTGGCCTATCACTACATCCTCCTGCACAAGTCTATCCCGGTGGTGCAGTGGAACAACGAGCAGTCGGCCGCGATGATGTATCAGCCATTCGTTCTGCTCCTGCATAAGCTGGGCATCCAGCTGCCAGTAGATGCGGGCTCGATCTTTGCTCGGATACCAGACTACTGGTCCCCGGCGCAGATGTACGGAATGGCCAAGAAGCTGGGACCCGTGAATAAACGTGAGTTTCAGTCCCACAGATCCCACTTCCCGTCTCCATCCGAAACGTCCTACATTTTACTCAAATGTTGTTGAGGTGATTGTATAGACCGTGTTATCAAATATATTTTGCTCATGCTCCAAAATTTTGATCATGGGAATCCGCCTGAGACCGCCTCCAGTCTCCCCACCTGCCCACCTGACCACCTGCCCCCCTACCTGCCTCACTCTCTCATTGTGTCTCTGTGGTTTGTGTGTGTATCTCGATATGCTCTGTGCCTCTCTCCTTTCTCGCCATCTCGATCTTATAGAAGCCCTCAAGTTCGATGCCACCGAATTGGAAGAAGCAGCCGCAGCCGCTGCGGCCAGTGCGGCGGCCAGTGCTGCATCCATGCGATCCCATCACAACAGAGGACCCCGCAATTCCCTCAGCTCGCAGAGCAGCCTGGAGGTAGATATGGGCGATACAGACGGTGAATTACCCCTCATTCCCGAAGTGGATGCAGCTGTAGAGAAGGCCCATGCCATGGACTGCAGCTCTAGCTCGAACAATGAGTTCTTTGCTGTGCCCAAGGTCAAGACAGCCAATACAATGATGAGGTAAGCAGCATCTCTAAAAATATCCCTTAACTTTTACTTAATTCACATTATTTTTCTTTTTTCAGATATACACCCGATACGACGCCCCCAGTTCCCAATTGGCTGCAGTTGGTCATGCGAAGCAAACGGAATCCACGCCCGGCTCCCATTGGAGAGATCAATGATTGGTGAGTACATAGGGGGCACCCATAACCCCACCTAACTTAAACACAAAACAATTCTGGAAAATCTTCAGATTTATGGCACACGGCAGCTGCTCTAAGGCTCTCCAAACATATTGTTAACATGAGCCGCATGCTCTCTCTCCCTCGGTGTCTGTCTCTGGCCAAAACTGAAAATTTATGAACTTTAAGCCCCGTTTGGGGTCTGGTCTCCTAAATCCGTTCGTACATTTACTTTCGTGTGTTGACAGTTGTTGTCGCCAGTTGCGCACTAAATGTCAGCTCCGTTTTGGCCATTGTCTGGCTCTTAGAACACCCCCGTTCCCATCCCTTCCCTGCCCTCACCTGATCTGGCCAGCCATCTATCTAGATATACATATAGTATGTGGTCATATGTATTTACCTCATCCGCTTTGGTAGACCCCACACGATCACCCGCTGCTCCTGCCACGGCTGCTGCTGCTGCTCATGTTGAACAGCATTTTGCATTTGGTTTTATGACTTTTTGTGTATGGCATTTTGTTGTTACACCAAACTTTTAGATTGCCGATAAATAGCCGGACATACCGATTATAGGATAAAGATGGAAGGGATATTGGGTCTAGTGTGGAATATGCCTGGAGGAACCCCAAGAAGAGGGCGGCGGAACAGAAGTTCAAGACGTTTTATGTCCGTAATCGAATTCATGAAAGGGATAATGGATCGGGATAATGGAGCAATGTACTAAAATTTACTTCAACATTCATCCATTTAGTACAAACCGAACCCCATTTTAACTTTAATTTCATCGTTTTTCGATACAAATCCATTAAAAAGATCCCTTACCTATAGAAATGAAAGTAACTTTTTTCACAAAGAATACATAAACTCCTATCGGATATATATAATATCTTTCATATTAGTGATTACTTCATTAAAAAGTATCTTAAAGTCCTACCTAACCTGTTTGCTTATCCATGGGTATTCCTAATCTCTGGACTTCGTAACATCTGGAACCACTCAACGTAGTCCGTGTTTCTGTAAGAATCATTTACACCTCGGACAAGCTTTGTGGTGTCTGGGGCGCAGGCACAAAAAACAACAGCTATCCAACAATCTATCTAATGCTATCCATGAGATACATGGGCCTGACCTCTGTCAGCGCACCCAACAGCGGCAGCAGCAGCAGCAACATGAAATGAAGTCATCGCGATTAGCACGCGCAGTCACAGGCCCAGACCCAGTCACAGTTATGGCTTTAGCTATAGCTGTTGTATCTGATAGATACCACATATAGAGTCGGTTGTAGCTCGCACCCTACATGCATAAATTGTCCGCATGATAATCTCCCGAGCTGCTGCTGTTGCAGCTGCTCGAACTCCAAACGAGTGGAGTGGAGTGTAAATCAATCAATTCATTAAGCTTATAGGGCACTTAACTTTAATAATCTGAACGAATAATCGACCGAAAATTGTCGGTACCCATTGTTGGTGCACTAATTAGAAATCTGAGCTTAGCCAGAGTTAGCCGCCATTAATCAGACACCGAGAACATCGAGAACACCGATCCAAAAAAAACAATTGTTGTCTGAAATTGACATTTAGCGGAGGTTACACTCTCATCTCTGACGATTACATTTGAATCCTTAGAAGAGGCAACAGCCGGTTTCGGTTCCTCGACCCCATGAGAATTACGAATTACGAACGATCTGAACCAGTTTAAGACTAAAATTTACATTTTTTTTGTGTGTTTGTCTTTGGGTCTTGGGTTCTGCGTTCTGGGAAATATTTTTGCTGATATTTTAGTGCATTCTGTGCCTTAGACACAGACGCAGCCTCTTTTGCCATTGTCAAACGAGTTTCTTTGGTAACTGCTTTTTATATGGAAAGTAAAAGTCAAATGTTATGCGATCCCCGATCCCCAACTACGGTCAGAGGCCTCCACAGGGAGTCCCGCAATGGCAGGCAGTGCAGTGCAGTGCGTGAGTCCCCCAGTTGATATGGGAAATGAGGGCAAACAAGTTCTTTTTATTAGCTCAGCAAACTATAAAAAAACCACTTGACTGGAAAGCTGACTCAATAGTTTGGTTAGATCATGGGCTTTATTGAGAGAATGAGCAAAACATGAATGGCATCGGCCAGGAGGGAAAGTGATTCTTGGAATACCCTAGAATATCCAGCATCTTTATCTATAGAGATATTTAAATCTCTATATGTTGGGAAAAATGCTTGAAAGTAGTCTTTGCCCTTCTGCCTGGATTATATGCGCTACAAGCTAGAAATATGCCTATGATTCATTCAATAAATACCATCTACATATATATCTACACTCCCCTTGATGCCGTAGATTCCCTTAGAAGAGCAAAAGTGTCTCAATCAAACACTCCGTATATGTAATTGCACAACTCTTTTTTCAAAAGCTTAGGCAAATTAACACGCAAGTGGGCACGAGGCAGCTCCACTATTTTTGCTTGTTGTTGTTGTTTCTGCCTGTTACCCTGGGGGCGTGGGCGTTGACAAAAGGCAATTTTCCAAAGTAATTTACTTTGACGCCTGGCGAAAATTGAATTTGACATTTTTCTCATTTTTTGTTGCATGCTCTTTGCTGTTTTTTCTTCGTTTGTTATTTGTTGTTCAACCCACAAGGAAGCCAAAGTGCAGTACCCCGTGGGCTGTGTATTGGACTCTCCAAAGTGTCTGTCAGTCGGTGGCAACACCAAAAGTAGCAGTAGCATGGGGCAGAAGACTACTTGCGAGCCATGTTTCGCTTTGGTTTTCCCAGCTTGACTCCCAGGTTCTCGACCTTCTTTTGGATTTTAGCCACCGATTTTGGGTTTGGCTTTGGCTGCGACTTTGGTTTAGCTTGGTCTGGTGAATATTGCTAACATTTTGCATTATTGCCATGGTCGCTGTTGCTGTTGCTGTTTGCTGCTGTTGTGGCAGCTACAAAGTAATAAGTGCAACATGGACACCTATTGCTCTCTGGCAGAGAGTGGAGTGTTTTGTGCTGTGGATTGCTGTGTGGAGTGGCACTGTAGCTCCATCAATCAGTCTCATAAATCAGTTTAATTATTAAATAAACAAGTTCCAAAAACAAAAAACTTCAGCACTCCAGCACTCCACAGAGTCTCGCTGAGTCACTGGAGTCGAGACACCAATCGGGGGGATGTGGACTGCTACTTGAAGCTGAAAGTGTGAGAATATATGGTATGGAGTACCAAAGGGTTAATTGAGCAACGATCTGTGATGGCTTTTGGGGGAAACATACGAGTATGAACCAATTTCCAATTGCATTCCCCCACTAACCGACTTAACTTTTCTTCTATCCATTTGCAGTATTTCGAGTACAGCAATCGTAAAAGGCGATGACGAGTGCAAAAGTAGCAGGTCCCTGTGTTCGACTATGTATCAGACAGGACAGACGATGGCAATGACGCCAATGCCACCCATGAATGCCATTCATCCGTTGAATACCATGAGCATTATGCCGCGATTGCACAGCATCATGGGGCCGCATAACGAGAACAGCAGCAGCTCTGGCTGCGGCGGTACTGTGTACTCCCAGGCAATGGGCGTACTGATGACCACCTCTGCGGTGGGGGCCATAATGCGTGGCGATGTGGAGGAGGATGCGGCAATAAAGTCATCGTTCGAGAAACTGGAGGTCAAGGGCACGCATTTTGCCCGGGCCAGCCATTTGGAGGAGGAATATAGCGCCATGGTGGCGGATGCCTTCAAGAACGAGATCTTCAAGTGAGTTCCACAACGAAAGCGAGCCGAAACCGATAGCCGAAAACCGAAACAGAACCCCTTCTCCAATCAACGGTACGAGTAAGAGTGGAGCCGAGCCGGGCCCAGGAGTTCGCGATCAGCTAATTGACAATTGGACAGATTGCGCAAAAATGCCAGGCCCGGGCCAGTGACAGAATGTCCGCCTGTCGGGACTGTCGGACTGCCTGGACTGTCAATACTTAAATGTCTGGGATGCCAGACTGCATATCTGCACAGTGTCTCACATAAATTTATGGCAACCAATTATTCAATTTCAGCCATTTGTAACCGAAAATGGGAGGCAACTCCAAAAAGATTTATCTAAGCACTTTTATTTCTTGGTTTCTTAAGATTTCTTTTTCAAGATATCGTTGGAACTTTTTTTGGATGCAAATTATGCTTAGATTTTGGGCTGGGTTTTATTTTTTTTTGTTCGTTTGGGGTCTTGTGAAGATTGTTTCTCATGATGTTCTCATGATTATTGCAGCGACAATGGTTCGGTGGCTTCCGATCTGACGCGAATGTATGTGAGCGATGAGGATGAGAAACACGAGTTCCGTGTGTACCCCGCACATACTATCATTGAAAGCGAGAGCAAAATCTCGTGGAAAGGAGAGAAAAAAGGAAGGAAGGGGAAGGGACAGTAGAGAAGAGAATTGAGTGTGTAATGAACTGTACCTAAAAAACAAACAAAAAAATAATTGTATAACACAACATACTCGTTACAGAAGATATTTACAGACAGTAAGCAAGAAGTTTGTCGAAACAACTCAAAAAACAAAAAAAGGAAACATAAATACCTGAACAATCAGCTATGCAAAGTATAAAATATACCTGAACAATCAGATGTGACACAAAGTGCATAATGAATGAATAGTCAAAGAAATGGTGAAGGCCCAATGATTCTTTTACAGCATAAATTATATTTAATCTAAGTTTTAATAATTAGTTTTTAGTTCCGCATTGTATTCCGTAAACGTACATACCTATATACCGTATATACCTATATAAATGGGCAATGTTCCTGGTTGAAAAGTTCAAATATACACCACAGAGAAATCTATTTACAAACAAAAATCTAAATATTATCGTGTAGTATCGCACCCCATGCAAACGTTCATATATCATATATATCACATAGTATATACTATTGTAACCAACATGAAAATTATTGTAACCATGTGTAGATTGTAGCCATCATAAATTATATACTTAGAGATGTGGTTCTACTAATAAAGCTTTTTATGTAGTAAAAGCTACAAATCTCTGTCTTCGCCTCTGACTGCGGTCTCGAACACGGAATCTAACTCCAAATCCTAAGCCAAATGTGAATAATGTGCAGCAAATTGGCGGAGCCAAAAGATAAACGAGCTGTGGCCAAAGCGAATTAAGGTCATTGGTTGACTTTGCGCTAAGGATTTTGTGGATTGTATGGATTGTGTGGAGGTTGGGCCGAGGCGAGGAGACTCCACGCATGGAGCTCACAAAAACGGTAGCAGACACAGAAACAGAACAAAAAAAATTTAAAAATAAAAATCTACTACTCGGCACAGTGCCAGTCCCCCCAGTGCCAGTACCAGTCACATATTCGGTCTTTCAGGCCACACATAAATGGCAAAACATGGCTAAAACAATTACCAAAATGCGCCCGACCACCACAACAATCGTCCGGCCTAGGCATAAGGCATAAGCATAAGCATACTCGTAGTCGTACAAGAAATAATAATAATAATTGTAGCCAATTGCTGCTTAGTTGGCCAGTTAATTGCAACATGGCCCAGACGACAGTCCCAGCCCCATTCCGTCTTGGACTCCACTCCACTCTCGATGGCCATCACGATCGCCGCAGTTCTTAAAACAATCGTATGCTTGCAGAGTGGGTTGTATATTTTGGAAGGTAAGTGATTCACTGCAGATCGGAACCAGTCCAGTTCGGATATCAAAGTCATATTTGGTCTGTTTTTGAGTTCCGTTTTACTTTGTTTATTTCCTCATCGTCGAATTCAACACAGAAGTTCGAGTATCAGGCATTTATTCTCAGCCATAATTTAGCTGTTTATAAATTGGTGTATATAAATCAATGATTAAATGTATCATCAGTAAAAGTTTTTTTATCAGCAATAAGCTCCGTCTAAAGATTCGTTTCGAAGAACACTTTTTATGGAGTTTCCTTAGAGCTCTTTAGTCTGGGACTTCAATCTGTTCTGGTTCAAAATTCTTGTTTCTATTCTTCTTCTGGCTCAAAAAGTTCTTACCATCGCCTAGCCCTGGTCTTTATTGCTTCTTCTAAGACCGAACACTGCAGTTGACTGAATTCTCCCATTGTTGTTGGTTTCTGGCCATTGGTGACGGGCCAAACTCCATGTCTTGGCCCAAACTTCGCCTGCAAACTCCTCCATTCGGCTCGACGGCGGCCTCAGCGCAATTACCAAGACAAGCAGCTAATTTTATTTGCTGTAAACGTGCGCCTCCGTCTTTAGATCTATGGTATTATATTGGTGTACTGTAGCCGTTTGCTTTGGTTCTCGAATGCTCTGTGTGGGAATTGTTCGATGACTTTGCGGAGGCACCGGATTCGGACTTGGAGTCTGGGAGATTGCGTGTCTGAGGCGCATTAGGCACCTTTGACAGGCCGCCGACGCCGTCGTCACTCGTCAATTGAGTTGTCAGAGAGCCAGAGCCAGTCAGACAGAAGTGACAAAACACATTACTCAGGGTGGCCGTCTCTGGAAACTCCAGGGTGCTAATAGGTGCGAATCAAAAGCAGCCGAAGAAGCCGCCAAAGATTTGCTGAAATGCAAATCGAACAGGAAATCAATGTGTCTCTGATTTGAAAGTAAAGAAAAAAAAAATACAAAGAAGCCACCACAGATTAAATATAGCACAGTGAGCCCGCGAATCGCGAAACTTGTTCAATTTGAAAGTTGAGTTCAAGTTCAGAAATGGCCACGACAACAGAAACTACTTTGGCAACAACTGGCAACAGGTTGCTGTAATTTATATATTATACAAATACAATGCTATTATCCCACGAATGCACAAATCCCACAAATAGTTGTCAACACAGAGGAGAGGCCCACTGAGAAAGAAAAGAAAGACAGTCTTGAGGGTACAGGAAAGTGGCTTTTAAGATTTCCAGATACTCTATTGGTTATTTTTGCGAGATATTAAATATTCGAATATCAGTTTTTTATCATGGTTCACAACTGCTAGTATATGGTGCGAAATATGGGACTAAGAGACCAGCAGGAGGCCCACGAATATGCCGATTGCGCAAACCGGCTGCAATTCAAGGACTTCAAAGGAATTGAAGATTAAGATTGAAAAAAGATCATGCAAAATTCGTATATTGTGAATTTCTGTGGGAAAAATGGGATTACGGACGGTAAAATACCAGAAGTACAGGTTTTCATTGAAAATATAATCTTAAATCACTTTAGAATAATATAGAAACTTTCAATCAAGTTTGTTCAGTTATTTTCTGTGCAAAACGCCATCACATATTGATCAGACCCCTAGCCCATGCCCTACCTTGCTTTATTCCCAAACAATCGACCATCCTCAATGCCCAGTCAATAATAACTTTGATCTTTAGCCAATGAGACAGACCAACCTACATATCGTAATATTTTTTCTGGCTTAGGCATGCAAAATAAAAAAAGAAACACAAGAGGCTATAATTTATGTAATAGGGAAATGTAAGACATTTAGATAACATTTGGCGAGACGTGGAACAGATATGGGGAGTACTTGAGACTGGAGACCAGAGACTTGAGGAGTGGAGTGGAATGTCTTCGGACAGAGAGGGCCAGGAGAGACAGGAGCAGAAGTCGAAAAAGTCGTGTCAAGACAAAGTGCAATAATTCACACTCACTTTTGGGGGTACGTTGTCGAAGGCATTTGACGGTTTAGAGGTGGAAATAACAACAGCACAACAGCACAGTGTCCGCATGGGCATGCCCCACCGACAGACAAACCACTCTGGAGGCTCCAAAGGCGGAGGCTGAGGAGGAGACTGAGTGAGCCTGATGATTATGAAACAGTACATGCACGCGGCTGACACTTAATATAGTTTGTGACATGATAGACCCTCGCATCGAATATACATATGTAAGTACCGCCGAACCCATTGTCCAAATAAAGATATAAACAAGAAAGGCAAAGACACAAATTGAATTTACGATTTGTATGGATCGCGTATGAAATGTTGGACCAATTCCAAAGTGCCACTGGCAATATTCAACAATTTTCAGGTTTCGATTTAGTTTAGTGGCCAACAGATTTATAGTGCAATTTAATCATGATTTATCCAAATGCCCATAAATAATAACCGTGATTATTAGGAGGCCGGGGACGGGGAGTGGCCGGCCACAGGGGAACGGATCGGAACGACTGCCAAGACTTTAATTGATTGCTGGCCGAAATTTAATTAGCCAGAAACAAAGGCCATGGGCAAGTGCTTCGAGATGATAATCTCATGGGGTATTTGCATACTATTTTAAATTCTTTTTTTGCAGTCGATTTGCACCCCATCAGCATCAGCATCAGCATCGAATCAAAGTCAGGCTTCAGCGGAGACTTGAACCAAAAGCCGAGGCGAAGCGCAGCCTGTAATCAACTTTGGGCTTCGGCTTTGGCTTCGGCTGTGCCTTCGTGCATTCGTCGAAGTCGGTGGCTACTTCTACTTGGCGTTGCATAAAAAGTGGTTCAGTGGAGCAAACCGCTTCAGACCGCAAGCGTCGCGAACGCGTCCCCCTAAAAAGAGGATACCCTACGATCAACGCGCGAAAGTGGAAGTGCTAATAGAGAAAGGATCATCTATATATGCATACCTATATCCTTTATATGGTGCGTGTTGTGTTTCCTTGGCTGTTCAACAGATACAAAAATATATACATATATACATATCTGTATTTACAGCTGTAGCGTATACTAAATATTTGGAATACCAGATTTCATTTGGATACATCACAAAAATTTTAATTCCCAAAATAAAAGTGAAGGTAAGAGGCGGTACTGCGGTATGAGTGAGTGTCAAAGCCTGTTTGTGGCATACATTAAATGAATCTCTCAAATCAAAGTTCTTTCGAAAGGAGCCTCACAAAAATGTGCAATAAATACCACAGATTATTGAATTGGAAGGAAAAAAAAACGAAAGGGAGCGGCAATAATTATGTTTTTATTCTGATAGAAATTTCTATAAGTCAAATGTCAAGAATTGCATAATACACATATGGTATTATTTTTTTAAAGATATTCTCTACCGTTGAATCAATGGATATTTATGAACATTGTGTACCAGTTTGCCAAGTTTTTTTTTGTCTTTTGCGGAAATATGCTAAATATCAGATCATAAATTGTGTGCAATAATAAGCAGAATCCAAGGAGAATTCTGGAACCTCCAACAACAGGCCAAATCGATCGATACATTGTCGCTCGTTTGACAATTACAAATGTCTGTTGCAGGTATTATTATGGATTGCTCTCATTCGATTTGAATTGAATGGGAAATTGGAAACTGCACTTTAATCAGTCTGACAGACGTCAGACGGTGGCAGACAAACTAATTTGCATATTAATTTTAATTGAGTGAGCAGCGGCCCGAGTCCGGACCCGTAGCCCCAGGAGACATCCATCGATAAAAGTTCAATCTTGCAATTGAAATGGAAAATGTCATGCTGCAAATCGAAATCGAATTCAAATCCGAAATAAAGCCATTGGCATTACAGCTGGCGCTCTGACTACGTGGTGGGTCCAGCTCCACACAAGACACACAAAAACAAAAACAACAACAACAACAACAACAAACCACAAAAGAAAAGGCCCAACAGAATAAATTTAATTCGGCAACAGTTTTGTTCAAACAAATGTGGTTACAGCAAAGTGTTTAGCATGTCTGTTGCCCAACTCCAAGTCTTTCGTTTTATGATGGCTAGACGATAAAATTGGTGTTTATACCATCATCTTTGGCCAATCTTTTCGCTCACTTTTGAGCCATAAACCATCCCATCACCGCCTATCAAAAGCTTCCGCCTGGCGAGTGACAAGCTTGGCAAATTGTTACAAACACCCGCCGAATCCAATGTCATTGGCAAAAAAAAAATAACGAAACCAAACCGAAGCACAACCCACAATGAAAAAAATTCGCAAAATCTTTAACTGTATTCCATCATCAGATGGATTTGCATATGCAAATTTCATTCCCACGATTTTTAATTGAAAACAAAAGCTCTGAGCAAGCAAAGGAAATGGAAATTCTGAATTGAAGATTGCCAAGGCCAGGGTCGAGTGCGTGATGTTATCAGGTGAAAATTGATCACTGATCAAGGCTCATTTTCGGGGATTTTCGATTGGTACGAGCCTTCTCTATATGGTCTAATTGGTAATGGTTTTCGTGTGGCGAATACGAGGAACCATCTTCATTTCCTATTCCTCCTAATGTGTACTCTAACTTTGGAGACTATTTGAAATTCAAGAACCTATAAGAAAGGGAATATAATATATAAAAACCAGTTTATCCTTTCTAAAAGGTATGCATATTTATTGCAGGTAGTATCGATTAGAATTAGATGCATAGAATATTATGCAAAGAATATAATAAACGGAATGATAGAATCCACTATTGAGGAATATGGATATACATACAGTAGAGTCTCTTTGTTTAATATTTCCCCACTCTATTACTCTTAAAGATGAATGCTAAGCTCTGATATGTCAATAACAAATAGAGTCAAGGAATAGTTAGAACGCAATAAAATAGAAATACAAAGATATATTGGGGTTCTTTGTATTCGTATAATTCTCCTAGCTGTTTGGATAAACCAAAGGAGATTCCATTATATTTTGTTTAAATACTTTAAGTTCTAATAGTCATTTTAAAGAGTAAAATAAATAGAGCTCTATAAAACCTAGTGTATTATTTATTATATCACTTTAAAGAGTGTTCAAACTTCGTCTCATCTCAATTGAACACTACATTTTTTTATAGTTTCTACTTTTTGCACATCTTTGGGTCGTTTTAATTAACACTTTTAGCGATACAAAGCCATTTGACTTTGGCTAATTAATGAAGCGAATCAAACTGACATTCGGCGACTGCGAATTCTGTTCGAATTCAATACAAAAACCCTTGTAAATTCTGTCATAATTAAGTCAGAACTCTGACACTACCCTCGGGCTAAACGAAGCAGGTGAGCAATTGGTATGTGGCACAAATGAAATTAAAGTGAAGTGGAGACCCGGGTATCGAAGGCAGGGGCCAGAACCAGGGTGAGGCACAAGCCAAAGCCAAAGTCTGGAGCTGCACCCAGAAATGCGTACAAATCCGTTGACATTTTGCCAGACACAACATTACAAGACACCCCAGAAACGGAGACACGAGACAGGGACCCTGGGACAGACAAGTACTAATTGAGTTTCCCCTGCCCAGAGGTTCCATTAATTACTCCCGAGTGTAGCTGTAGCATTGGATGTGGATGTGGCTATGGAGTGGCCGCAAGATCTAGGCTTAAAGTTCATTAAGAGAAAAGATTCGGTAGGGCGTACCAAACCCAAGACAAGACCCACCTCTGAGGTTGTGTAAGCAAATGGCTTGAGCCGAATCTTCGCTGGCTAAATGTTCAATTTACAAATTAACCAAAGCAAACATTTCAGTTCAAAAGTTCAATTACAACAGCAGCCACAGCCACAGACAGACAGTACGACCGTTCGGTGGGGTTGTGAAATCCCCCTGTTAGTGAATTGAATATCGAAATCGGAATCTAAAACCCAAATAAACAATAACAAGGGCATCACAACGAATTAATTGAAAGTATTTACAACTTGCCAGCATTCAAAATTAGCCAACAATCGAATAAAATCAAATTGCATTGAAGACCACCGAAAGGAAAAACTGAAGACGAAAGGCAGACTTCTGCCTTCCCCTCCCATCGTTTGTTAAGCCCCAGGGGGGACTGCAGCTCGGAGACTGTGAAAATCTTCAGGCTGTTGAAAGGCTGTTCATCCATTGACCTCTGGGTAATTGGGAATTTGATTGAATGTTTTCCCAAAATGATTTTGCATTTAATGAAAATTTGTGTTATATTTTCATTAAAGATCTTAATGGAAACATTTCTTAATAACTCATCAATGGCTTGTAATTATAATGAGGTCTTAGGGGGGTCTTCCAAGATTGTGTAAGATTGAAGGATGCGTTGAAGAGGTATAAAAAAGATTCTTAGAATATATTTTGTATTGAAATGCATGTCAAAAGCTTATTTCCTCTACAGCAGCGATTTCTGTAGAAATTTGGTAATATTTTCGTTTAAGATCTACAAATTTCCCAACAAAAAGTGGCCTTTCAATTAGACCCCGAAAAACTGCCATAAATTGTGCAAAATTCCAACAATTTCGAAGGAGACCTCGATCTGATTCAATCTTTTGTTATTCTTCCACTTTCGCCCTGAGGCCGGGACTCCGATTGTTGGTTGAAATTTCCAGCAAAATTATGGATTGTGGGCGAGTTCAAGTCGGTCAGGCAGTTGGGCACTATGCCAGTGTGGCACTGGGGCACAGTCACGCATGCCCCTTTCGATTTCATTCGAATCTGAATCTCTTTCCTCGGTTCGATTACTCAATTCGAGCACTGCTCGAGTGGCTATGCAAATTGATCGGCAACCGAAATTGAAATTTGCATTTCTCAGGCAAAGTTCGTGATATGTCAACGGGCGTTAGAATGTGCTTGTCGGTGCAGCACCTTCCTTTGGAGGTCGTCATGGCCCCCCTCTCTCTCTCTCTCACACGGGGGTGTCTGTGTGTGTATTTGTTAGAGTTGACACTTTTTGTAGGAACTTGACAATTAGCCGAAAACTGACAAGAATAAATCATCAAACGACAAATGGTTAGCGCTGACATTTCTGATAGATTTTGGGTTGGTTTTTTTGTGCCTATTAAACCTCGAATGCGAGGGTATGTTCTGTTTGGATGGAAGCATATATAATTCTATAAAATATCTGTATTCCTTCCTCAGCAGGAAGCTCTCAGATCATTCAGTTATTAGCCATAATGGCGAAAATATACAGCCAATATATGGACAAAGGAATGCCATCCACTTTTCCATTTATTATAAAAGAGGTCGTTGGATAATTTCGCTCCCTTAAACTCCAATACAGACCGTTTTCTACCTTTTATAGCACCAGTATATCTAAGTATTAGGTATCACCAAGTCTCAACATCGACCAACAAATTCAAAGTTCTTTTCTTACTAATTTTGTTGTTCCTCTGTTTAATTCCGTTTTAATTGCATTTATCAAATGCCAAGCGATGTTCATGCTCTGCTTCCAGCACAGAAAAACGAATGACTTGGGCAACGAACTTGATTTAAAAACAAGTTGAATCTTGTTGGATCTGCCTTTCAGCGCAAAATCCCCAGCCAACTCATAGATAGTTTCAGTTTTTTCACTCACTGTTTAGATGAATGTTGTACGGATATCTACGAATCTGCGAATCTTAATTGTTGTTTGATTTTCTGCTGCTGTTGCATTTGCATGGCCGATTCGGTTAGTGGCTTTTTAGCGCCTGTCTGATGTATGAATACATTTTTATGGCATACACATGTTTCTTCTTGTTTTCGTATGTATGTATTTTTGCTTGGACTTCTTTCGGTATCCAGGTCAAGTCGACTGCTGCTGTCATTTAATGCAAATTACGAGTATATTGGCCCACAGTGGTTCTCTTCCATGTCTCCTCCAAGCCTCCAATCTTTCAGCTCTTTCAACTACAAATTGCGTTTTGCTTTCAATTTAGTTTAAGTTAACGCACATGTGGGCGTGGTCGTTGGCTTTGATTAACATTTTTTCTATCCAACGGAAAAATGCTGGAAAACTGTTCGACTGCGTAATGGAGTTTGCCTTGACCTGGGATCTCGCTTTTCGTTGAGACGGCTTGGAAAAGGCCTGTTTGGTGTCCTATAACACAACTTAAATGTCGTTTCAAAATAAATCGAGTGAAGCTAGAAACATTTAAA